CTCGCTTCGCTCGATAGTGGAGCACACTAGCTGCCACCGACACTCTCCTCTCTCTACACTACTCTCCTCTCTCTACACTACTCTCCTCTTTCCTCTTTGGCTGCGAAATCTTTATTCTTTTTCCCCTATCAGCTTTGTTTTACGTTATATACTACTTTTTCCATACTCCATTATTTCAACATAGTAACGCACATTTAATAGGTGCACTATCGAGCAGAGCGAGAACGTGTCACTAGTCAGTGCTACTCCACTATCGAGCAGAGCGAGAACGTGTCACTAGTCAGTGCTACTCCACTATCGAGCAGAGCGAGAACGTGTCACTAGTCAGTGCTACTCCACTATCGAGCAGAGCGAGAACGTGTCACTAGTCAGTGCTACTCCACTATCGAGCAGAGCGAGAACGTGTCACTAGTCAGTGCTACTCCACTATCGAGCAGAGCGAGAACGTGTCACTAGTCAGTGCTACTCCACTATCTCGCTTCGCTCACTATCTTGCTTCGCTCACTATCTTGCTTCGCTCACTAGTCAGTGCTGCTCCACTATCTCGCTTCGCTCGATAGTGTCGTTAGTGTCGATGTTATTTTTTTAAAGTTTTATTTTACCTTGATTGACTAATGAGTTGACAACACTAAGAATGGCTTCAATTGAAGCTTGACTGACATCATGATTAATGCCACATCCCCATCTCGAAACTGTTTCTCCTGTAGCATCAATATAGCTCAATTGTACATAAGTTGCTGCTTTTGAACTAGATCCACTTCCCAATGAATGTTCTTGGTAATTAACAACTTCAAACAATATACCGAATCTTTTGGAAATTGCATCGATAAAAGATGAAATTGGTCCATTTCCTTCTCCGAATAAAGTGATACCATTAGCTGATGATGGTGATTTCAATTGAGCAAAAATCTCTCTCGACGAATTATTCTTACCCTTTGTAATTTCAAATTCAGTCAATTGCAATGGTGATTCTATAAGGTACTCATTTTTGAAAAGATCAACAATTTGGCTAGTCTGTAATTCACATCCCAGTTTATCGGCTTTTTCTTGAACTAGCGATGAAAATGAAACTTGCAACTGTCTTGGTAAATCTAATCCAAGTGATCTAAGAATAATCCATGCGCTTCCTCCTTTACCGGATTGCGAATTAACCCTAATCACGGCTTCATATGTTCTACCTATATCCTTTGGATCTAATGGTAGATAAGGTATAGCCCATTTTGCGTCATCTCTCTCATATGCAAATCCCTTTTTAATAGCATCCTGATGAGATCCGCTAAATGCACAAACAACCAAAGATCCTCCATATGGTGCTCTTGGGTGCACTTGAATCTTATTACAACGTTCACTTACATCAATAATCGATTCCATATCACTGAAATCCAAATTGGGAGCAATACCTTGAGTATACAAGTTCAAAGCCACAGTCACCAAATCAACATTTCCTGTACGTTCACCGTTTCCAAAAATACATCCTTCCACACGATCTGCGCCTGCTAATAAGCCCAACTCGGTAGCGGCAACTCCACAACCACGATCATTATGACAATGTACTGAAACAATAACTTTTTCACGCTCGGTTATATGTTTACAAAAGTATTCAATTTGATCAGCATACACATTTGGACCAGAAACTTCTACAGTTGCAGGTAAATTAAAAATCATTGGAGTTTCCAATGTTGGTTCCCAAGCTTTTTTCACAGCTTCACAGATCTCAACAGCAAATTCAACTGGTGTATCTGAAAAACATTCTGGTGAAAATTCTAGGTTCCATTCCGTTTCTTGCATTGTTGGATCATCTTTAGTTAATTTTCTGACCAACTTTGTGATTTCCACAGCCTTTGCAATGGCTACAGGTTGTGACATGCCAAAGACAACTTCGCGAAAAACATCTGATGTTGCCAAATATATATGAATTATTGCCTTTTTGGCGCCTTTAACACTCTCAATGGTTCTTCTAACTAAAGGTTCCCTGGATTGAGTCAAGACTTGGATAGTAACGTCTGTTGGAGCATTTTCCACTGCGTATCTCGTAAAATCAAAATCGGTTTGCGATGCCAGGGGAAAGCTCACTTCAATTTCCTTGAACCCTATATCGACCAATTTATGGAAATACTCCTTCTTTTCCGAGATGGACATCGGATCAGGTAGTGATTGATTGCCATCTCTCAAATCTGTAGATAACCACCTTGGTGCTTTTGTAAGGACTTTCTCGGGCCATTCTCTATTCTTGAGTTGGATTTTTTTGGGGGGTGGATATTTGACACTAGGATCTTTTAGCATATTCTTGTACTGTAATTTTACAGGTGGTATTCTTGATACCGCTCGTTTAAAGAGCCTCAACGGGGAAAACATGGCCATACGAGACACTATCTTGCTCTGCTCTATAGTGGAACAATACCGACTAGCTAATGAAAAATATCGCACACGGGTTTGATTGCAGAGATATCCCCTTGAATCAGTTTTTTGGTATCTATGTATCTATGTATACCTTGTGCAACAATATAAAAAGATGAGTAATAAGTCTCTTCTCTTTGCAACAATAAAAAACTGGGTAGTGGTAGCGATGCTACAAAGTTCCTTGATTACTTTTGTTACAAAAAGCTATTGGATAAACCTCTGTTAAAGATGAGTAATAAGTCTCCTCTCACTCCCTCTTTTTAGTAAACCCCTCCCCTCCTTCTAACTTAATTTTTCAATTTTTCATTTACACTCCGGAACAGGAGCTAAATAATAAATAATATGTGAAAAATTGAATCTCAGGGCCGATGCCGGGGGGGAAGGGGGGAGTGAAAAACCTAGACTTCCTATTTGGGAAGTAACATACTACAACGAGATGAGCTGCGAATTTGAATTTTTTTTTTTTTCCGTTTTTCCTTTTTTGGCTTTTGCTTGTCTCATCTCATACGATGCTCATCGCTTGAGGATGAAAAAAAAAAAAAATTAATCAAATTAATTTGATCAAAAAGTGATATTTTTCAGCTACACTTGGGTTTTTTCATCGAGGTAGTGTAAGAGAGTTGGTACAAAAAGGGTTATTCATGGGTAAATCTTCAGATAAAGTAGACAAGAAGTTGTCTAAAGCTAAGGTTTCAAAGCCGGTGAAAAAAGTTGAAAAGGAAGAGTCTTCATCTAGCTCTAACTCATCATCTGAATCTGGGTCCGAGTCCGAGTCCGAATCCGAGTCCGAATCCGAGTCATCTAGCTCTAGCTCATCATCCTCTGACTCATCTTCATCTGAGGAGGAAGAAGAAGAAGAAAAAGTTGAGGTGAAAGAAGTTAAGAAAGAAAAGAAAAAAAAGACAAACACCAACACCAGTTCATCTTCCTCCTCCTCTTCCTCTTCTTCTGCCTCTAGTTCAGAGTCATCAGATGATGAAGAAGAAGAAGAAGAGACTGTTGTTGAGAAAAAAAATGTAATGGAAATCAAGAAATCAAGAAGAGATTCTAGCTCAAGTTCATCATCATCATCCGGTTCTGATTCAAGCGAAGAAGAAGAGAAAGAAACTGGTGGAGCTAAAACCGCTGGAAAAATAAAGAAGGCCAAAAGAGGTTCAAGTTCCAGTTCAGAATCATCTGACGAAGAAAAAGAAGAAAAGAAACCTGTTAATAAAAAGGAAAAAGCAACAAAGAAAGCATCGTCGTCTAAGTCGAACTCATCATCAACAACATCAGATTCCGAATCAGATTCCGACTCCGACTCATCTAGCTCAAACTCATCATCATCAGATTCCGATTCTGACTCCGACTCATCTAGCTCAAGCTCGTCATCATCATCAGATTCTGACTCTGATTCTGATTCTGATTCCGACTCCGACTCCGACTCCGAAGTAAAAGAAACATCAAAGAAACGTAAAATTGAAGAAACTGAATCTGAAGAACTGTCAACTTCCAATAAGAAATCCAAACCTATAGAAACACAAGAACCAGAAGAATCAGAAGAACCAGCAACCTTATTTGTTGGTAGATTATCCTGGAATGTAGATGACGAATGGTTGAAGACCGAGTTTGAACCAATAGGAGGTGTTCTTAGTGCTAGAGTTATAATGGAAAGAGATACAGGCAAATCCAGAGGTTACGGGTACGTTGATTTCAAAAACAAGGCAGCTGCAGAAAATGCATTAAAAGAAATGCAAGGCAAAGAAATTGACGGAAGACCAATTAATTTGGATATGTCTACTGGTAAGCCACATGCATCCAAATCGAATGCAGGTGAAAGAGCTAAACAATTTGGTGATTCTCAATCACCACCAAGCGATACATTGTTTGTGGGTAATTTATCATTCAATGCAGATAGAGACAATTTATTCAAAATTTTCGGAGAATATGGTAGTGTTATATCATGTAGGGTACCTACTCATCCAGATACTCAACAGCCAAAGGGATTTGGATATGTTCAATTTTCGTCTGTTGATGAGGCCAAAGCTGCATTAGAAGCTTTGAATGGAGAATATATTGAAAACAGACCATGTAGATTAGATTATTCGACACCAAGAGATAACAATAATGGTGGTGGTGGTGGTGGTAGTGGCCGTGGTGGACGTGGTGGACGTGGTGGACGTGGTGGATTTGGACGTGGTGGATTTGGAGGTAGAGAGAGATCTGCTACGCCTAGTGGTACACCAACTCCAAGAAAATCAACTGAGTTCAAAGGTACTAAAAAGACATTTGATTAGAAATAAAGATATAGTGTAATAATAGGAGGAGGATTTAATAGTGACCGACTATCGACACTATCGAGCAGAGCGAGATAGTGTCGATAGTCAATGCTTCTTGAGAGTCAATGCTGCTCTACTATCGAGCAGAGCGAGATAGTGTTGATAGTCAATGCTTCTTGAGAGTCAATGCTGCTCTACTATCGAGTAGAGTGAGATAGTGTCGATAGTCAATGCTTCTTGAGAGTCAATGCTGCTCTACTATCGAGCAGAGCGAGATAGTGTTGATAGTCAATGCTTCTTGAGAGTCAATGCTGCTCTACTATCGAGTAGAGTGAGATAGTGTCGATAGTCAATGCTTCTTGAGAGTCAATGCTGCTCTACTATCGAGCAGAGCGAGATAGTGTTGATAGTCAATGCTTCTTGAGAGTCAATGCTGCTCTACTATCGAGTAGAGTGAGATAGTGTCGATAGTCAATGCTTCTTGAGAGTCAATGCTGCTCTACTATCGAGCAGAGCGAGATAGTGTTGATAGTCAATGCTTCTTGAGAGTCAATGCTGCTCTACTATCGAGTAGAGTGAGATAGTGTCGATAGTCAATGCTTCTTGAGAGTCAATGCTGCTCTACTATCGAGCAGAGCGAGATAGTGTCGATAGTCAATGCTTCTTGAGAGTCAATGCTGCTCTACTATCTCGCTTTGCTCGCTAGTGGAGTAGCACTGACTAGTTACACCATCTCGCTTTGCTTGATAGTGTCGCGGACTATACTAAAAAAGACTCTTGTTGCAACCATTATCTAATTGGTTTAAATTGATGTAACAATCGCTCCACTCGATAGTGTCAATAGTGTTGTTATCAAGTGCTGCTCCACTCGATAGCGCCAATAGTGTTGCTATCAAGTGCTGCTCCACTCGATAGTGTCAATAGTGTTGTTATCAAGTGCTGCTCCACTCGATAGCGCCAATAGTATTGCTATCAAGTGCTGCTCCACTCGATAGAGTCAAAGTACAAGCCACGAGGCTTAACAAAGGCTTACAACTTATTGAAGAAAATACTAAATTATTTAGATATCGATGTATTTTGTAAATACATCGATAGCGGAAGTATTGGAGAGGGAAATAACAAGAAAGGCAAAGTTGAACAGAGTATATAGTCGTTGAAGAAAGATATAGTAAACACAGATGTAGCTAAACAAGAAATAGCTATACAAAATATAGTTCAACAAGAAATAGCTAAACAAGAAATTGGAAACACAGATTTAGTTTAACACAAATATAGCTAAACAGTTGATATTTCTCTTGTACAATCTTGCGGCGGTTTGCATCTATCGAGCGACACTATCGAGCGACACTATCGAGCGACACTATCGAGCAAAGCGAGATAGTGTCGATAGCATGGCTACAAAGTGCTGCTCGATAGTAGAGCAGCATTGACTATCGACACTATCTCGCTCTGCTCGATAGTGTCGCTCGATAGTGTCGCTCCATAGTGTCTCGATAGTGTCTCGGGTTACGCATATGGTAGCACCATTCTTACAGAGCCACAATCTGATAGTCATTGCCATGGGGAAAACAATTTAACCCGAGAATCGTAATCAGTAATTGGTAGACTACAACAGTATTGCACATTTCAATAGTTGATAGTAGTTGTCGTGTTTCTCATTGGGATACTGACTAATGAGAAAATAGATGCTTTACCAAAGATGTTTAACAAAGCTTTTGCATTTATTTTTAATCTTTACTTTTTAGTGACACTATCGAGTAGAACGAGATAGTGTCAATAGTTAATGCTGCTCTATTATCGAGCAGCACTTTGTAGCCATGCTATCGATACTATCGAGCAGAGCGAGATAGTAGAGCAGAAAATGACTATCTCGCTCTGCTCGATAGTATTTTGCTCGATAGTAGAGCAGCACTTTGTAGCTATCCTATCGACACTATCTCGCTCTGCTCGACAGTGTCGCTCCACAGTGTCGCTCGACAGTGTCCAATTTTTCGCCGAGTTTACCGTATTTAGGGCGATAGCCCGAATTAGCCATGGCTATCGCGCTACGAATCCGCGCTACGAATTCGCCCCAACGAAAAATTCAAAAGAAAGAAAAAAAAACCAACTAACAGAAAATTACATACTTTATACTTGTTTGTAGTTATAACATTTAAAGGATACCCTCAATATCAGGGTAAGATATCGCCAATTTCCAATAGGGTATTGTTATAAAAGTACAAGTATATCAAGGTTTCTTATAGCTGGGACCAATAGACCTGAGGACAAGTTATAACACCCGATATTAGGGGAAACTAAGAGACGTTGATAAAGTGAAATTTATTTAGTTGTTAGAGATTAGAGCATCCCCCCCAAAGGTTCCTTTGCTATTTCCCGCTTTCCAGGCTCATATATAATTGTGACTAGAGGAAAACCCCATTGCTATCAAGTGCCGCCCCCACTCAATAGTGGTTTTACTGCTGCTCCCACTCAATAGTGGTTTTACTGCTGCTCCCACTCAATAGTGGTTTTACTGCTGCTCCCACTCAATAGTGGTTTTACTGCTGCTCCCACTCAATAGTGGTTTTACTGCTGCTCCCACTCAATAGTGGTTTTACTGCTGCTCCACTATCTCGCTCCGCTCGATAGTGTCGTCGATAGTGTCGTCGATAGTGTCGTCGATAGTGTTTTCTTACATGTACATATATATGTACCCAAATTGACCTGCTGACCCCCACCCCTCCCATTGGTTCCTTGTGCAAATCAAAGACGATTTCAACCTCAGCTATTTATTTGGGAACAGAGTCATGAGACGTGCAGTATCAAAGATACTACCTACGTCGAAATTATTTGATGAGAATTCTCCAAACAATAATTCGGCAAAATCAGGAGGCTTAAGCTTCTCATCAAGTTTCAAACTAGATTTTCATTCAGTAGATGAGTTTTATATACAGCTAGACAATCCCCATAAGGTGTGGCTTCCCGGTGATGAAGTATCGGGACAAATTGTACTACTAACAAAAAAGAACTTGGCTAATATCATAATTACGCTATCATTTACTGGGTTTATAAAGATTAATGCATCTTCACACTCGAAATTGAGACCGATAAAACATACCTTGTTTGATCATACTATAAAGATATATGGGAATGAAAATAACAGCAGCGACAACAGCAACAACAACACCACCACCAACACGGACGAGTTCTCCAATGGGTTATCCAAGGGTGAACATGTGTTTCCCTTTATTGTTAAGCTCCAGAATAAAAAAATATTCACTTCAATCGACTTTGGTAAAGGGTCCATAAACTATTCCTTGATTGCTTCTGTTGGGAGCTCTTCGTCTTACACCATTGCAAACTCATCATTTTCAAATATGCCGACGCCGCCAAATGAGAATTATCAAAATAATAGCAACAACAAAAAGAAATACTTGCATAATCCATCACGTACATCTGAGAAGTTGATTAATTTAGTGAACCCTATTGATGTATCTGAATTACCACGACCTAAACCAAAAAGGCTAATACTAAGAGATCCTAGGAGTAGCCTTAATCGAGATAGGAAATTAATGAGAACAAAATCTTCCACATCAACAATAAATACAATTAATACATTTGCTACTCTTTCTTCCAACAACTCGGATCAAAATTCTGTGGATGACCGAATATCTGAGGTGAACGATCCAATCAACAACAATATAATTGGCATTAACGATAACATTGACGATAACAACAACAACAACAATAATAATAACAATAATAACAATAACAATGATAATGATAACAATTGTAACAGTAACAGCAATAATAGCATCGGCAACATCAACATCAGCAACAACGCCACCACTCCTAGCAACGCCATCACCACCCAGATTCCCACCCTTGTTCCAAATCCAAACTCAAACAACATTACCATTGCTTCCGGTCCCGCCAATTTGGATAAACTGTCATTCTCTGTCAACAAACCGGCACCTACTATAAAGGTTATTTTAGAAGTACCTCAACGTGGCTACCTACGTGGGGAATCTATACCAATCAAATTATCAATAAATCATTTAAAGAAAATACAAGACTTGAACGGGATTATTGTTACCTTTGTGCGAGTGTGCCGGTTAGACAATGGACCAGATGGCGTTATTGAAAGTTTCAGAAAAGATTTACAACAAGTGGTGCTACCTTTATTCGTTGACCCTCAAACATTCAAATCGGAGATTCAATCTTCAATACGAGTACCAGCAGATGCATTCCCAACTATAGTTGGGTGCCCCTTGGTTTCATTTCAATATTTTATTGAGGTATTGATCAACTTATCTGGAAAATCTGTAGTTGTTGACCCGGAACTAGTTTCTGAACGGCCTCAACCAGATAGCATAAATGCCCAGCAACCACATAGCCTATCATCAATAGAAAACTTTCGATTCAATTTCAATTCATCAATACAAACTCAAAAGGAGCGGTCCAATTTCATCAATACTGATCGGTTTAAACGGTCCAAAAAGTTTTTACAATTAACAACAGAAATTTGCATAGGTACACATAGACTGAAATTAACCACTGAAGAAGATGACTTGCAAACAGTTCACTCATCATTGGACAATAGTGTTCATAGTGGTGGTGGTTCAATATCAAGAAGATCGTCATGCCTGATTACAAATTCAAATTCTCACACATCTCCCACTTTATTTGCAAATTTGCCCCAGAATCGTGCGTCGCCACATGCAGCTAATAATTTCACACATTCATCTTCAGGTAACTCATCACCATTGACTAATATAACGCCAACTTCAGTTGCTCATACAACTTCAGCTGCAGGTAGCTCTTCCAATTCAGTTTACGGAGGACACTCAATACCATCTCACCCAACACCCCCAGTACCTTTAGCACCGTCGTCGACATTACCCCATTCTCCTCAGAGATACCAATTCAATTCCATACCGGAAACGCAAGAGGTTCATAATTTCGAAATACCACCATATTCGCATCGTACTCCAAATGAAACAGTTCCTGAATACACCAGCAACAGTTTTATTCCAGCCGCGACTATGCAACCCCCATTAGTTCAACAACAACAACAACAACACCCTGTAGTGGATCCTATATCGAATGAGTTTATGGCTAATTTACGAGAGAATTCTAACTTGAGTGAAAAGCAAAGAATGCAACAACTTGAAGACAGTTTATTGCCCTCTGCTCCGCCAAATATGGATGATGCATTAGATGAATTTGAAAGTAGAAACAAGAATTATGGTCAGATACAATTTCATAAACAGCAGCAGCAGGAAAGGCATGGACAAGACAGTCATTCATCGGACAATAATGAACAACAACCACCTCAGCAAGTTTTTCCACATTCAATGAATGTGCCCACGAGACAACAATTCAATTTCTTTTCCTATGCTGGTCAATCATCTACCTTGAATTCTAGTAATCTTCCGAGACAGGCTCAGGATAATATCGGGTTGTTTCAAAATCAGCAACAGCAACAGCAGCAACAGCAACAGCAACATCATCAACAACAACAACAACAGCAACAGCAAGAGGAACAACATTCTTCACAGCAGCAGCAACAACCACAACAGAGTGGTAGCACTATAACTAGGAATACCCAGTTACAAGAAGAACTTTTCAACGATGACGTAATTGATAATGTACCAAATTATATGAATGCAGAGCATGATCAATTGCTTAGCAGTGGCCATTATTCGTCCCAAACTCCTCAACAACAAGAATAACACCAAAAGCAGCAAGAGTTGTTTGTTCATCATAAAGAGTATGAAGATGGAGAGAGGTGCGTGGTATAAATGAGGTTTTCTTTTGTTTTTTTAAAGGTAGGGCTTTAGATGTAAGACCCCGATTTAAAATGAAATTGCGATATAGCCATCATGATGACTACCACTATTTCTTAGAAACAGTATAGAGAGGGAGGAGTTGTGGCTTACATAGTTGATATACAAAATGTATCAATCAAAAGCATAGATAAAATACACAGTACTATTAAGACAAAATTATTCAAAAAAAAATAAAAATTCCCACATCAACATCAGGTCCACCCTCAATGATGTTTCTGTATTACTTCTCCTTTCCTTAATCCTGTTTATTTGACAAGTACAATTGTTTCTGCAATGTAGTAACATTGTCCTTTAACTGGTCTCTTTCTTGTTTGAGTATATACAAATCGGCTTCAAGATCTTTAATCTTCATATGATAATGTGCGTTAGAAATCACTTCCTCGTCTTCTTCTTCAACTTCAACCTCTTCATTTTCAGGCGAGAAACCTCTTGCTTCATCGTAATCATTAAACAGAGGTGTTCCATCTTTTGAACTGACCTTTTTCGTGCTTGCACGTTTGTACATCTTCAACTCTCTGTTTTCCTTCATTAGTTTTTCTAATGATTGACGCTGGAAATATAATTCATCCTGGTTGAGCTTTAAAGCTTTTGAAGTATTGTTAACCGATTGAAGTGATTCTTTGTAATTTTCTTCCAAAGTATGCAAGGTTTTCAACTTTGAATCAAGCTCTTTACGAAGTAGTTCAATTTCTAGAGATGAGGACTCCTCATTTTGTTTGCTAATGGCTAATAACTCATCAACTTGTTGTTGTAACCTAGCTACAACAGGATTGTTCTCAGGGGTTGCCAACAACATTGCTTCTTTCTCTTCAACATTTGCTTTAGCAGACTGTTGCTTCATGCTCCACAAATTGACTAAATTGCCCAATTGGGAAGAGATTTCTCTTTTGGATCTTGCACTGCTGAGAATAGACCTATTGTCTCCTCCATTACCGTTACCATTACCATTACCTCCATTACGCGGCGTGCTATACCCTTCGTCATCCAACTCATTTTCTTCTTCTTCTTCCTCTTCATTTGCACTTATTTCATCATCGTTGTAAATGGCTTTGTAATTCTCAAACTTCAAGTTTAAGTTATCATATTTAGTTTTCCATTCGTTAATCTCCTTGTTCAAACTCTCTTGATCCTTCACTTGGTGGCTTAGTTTTTCAATCTGATCTTCTTGTAATTTGATTACTTTTTGCAATTTATCCAATTGTCCAATATGATTATTCATAAATGGTTCAAAATCTTCAAATTTAGCCTTGAGACTCTTGTTCTCTTGTTCCAAATAAACTAACTTGTTTTTCAACTCCAATCTCTCAAGCTTGTATCTATTCAAGTCAGAGATCTTCGAGGAAGGCGCTGGTTGTTCTGGGTCCCATGCACTAGGGTCCAATGTTGATTTTAATTCATTAATCATCGCATCCCGTTCATGGAGCTCCTTGATGTAATTGTCAACATCTTGTTGATGCAATGCCTTTGTGCTGGAATGTTGCTTTTCAAGACCTTCAATTCTTTCAGTAGCCTTTTGCATCTGTTCCTTTGTTGACTGTTTGAGCTGTGCCAATTCATTGGTCAACTCTACAATAATCTTTTTGGCTTTTTTGTCAGTCTCTTGGACAGAAGAAGTAGGAGAAGGTGTAACTGCCTTCAAAGAGGTCTCCCTTTTGCTAACACTGGACTTCCTTGTTTGAAGTGGCTCAGTAATAGTAGACCTTTGCAGATAATTAGCATCCTCGCTATATTCTTCAGGATAGCGAGATGTCTCTTCTGGATAATGAGATGTTTCTGGTCCATAACTTTGATCCACAAAGTTTGATTTTGAAGGCTCTTCAACAGGTGCAACGGGTGCAACAGGTGCTGCCTCGGCGGCATCAGCAACATCGTGTTTCTTAGCCGAGGCTGCACCAGCCGCAGCAAAAGCAGCAGCTACTCCAGCCCCTGAAACTCCAACATTTGTCACCAGTGTGTCAGCAGGTTCTCCAGCTTTTGGGTCTAGTGATCTTCTCTTTGCATATATGTTTTCTTGTTCTTCTATATCTTGTTTCTTTGCTTCCTGTTCCTGTTCCTGTTCCTGTTCCTCTTCTTCATGTTGTTGCGTATCAAAGTGACCATTCATGTGACCACCAACTATTGGAGTATCGTGAGGTGTGGTGGCTTCAGTTTGGTATACATGTGCCAAATCTTCGTGATCAAATTGTGATATAGTACCGGAGGGTACATCAACCTCAACAAAATCGTGTTCGTTAACTGCAGAGGTATTGACCATCTCATTTTCAGCTCTTTCTGGTGATGTTGAAGCTAATGGCGTTGCATAGTCTTCTGGACCAGCAGAATAACTCCTTGCATGACGACCATATCTATTGTCAAACCCATCTTCTGGCTTTCCTCCTGTTGTTGTTGTTGCTGCTGCTGCTGTTGCAGATGCAGATGCAGCGATTTTCCTTGGTTTTTTGACTTGCTCAACTGGCGCAGACATGAAATGGTCAACTATACCAGCATCCAACTCATAAATCATGGTACCAATTTCTTCACCATTAAATGTCTCATAAGTGTCAAAGTTATGTGGATCGCTCACAATATAATCATTCTTATCGCCGCCCATAACAATGAGTTTGTTGTATTTTGGCAAGTAGGTCATTGAATGACCACACCTTGGACCCGGTCCATTTTCTTCAGCACTCTCAAGTAACTTAAACCACACCAATGTGTTTAAATCTAAATAGTACAATGAACTATAGATGATGCCACTGAAATCATTACCACCATAGATATATAATCTATCGTCAACGATGCAACTTGAATGTTCATTCACCGGTAATGGCACAGTACCGCTTGTTTCAACTTGAGTCCATTTCTCTTCTTCTGCATCAAAAACCCACAAATCGTTTGAAACTTTTTCATTGTTGTAAACACCACCAAATACATAAATCTTATTATTGTAGATTGACATTGAATGATTAGTCAAAGGAGGTGGCTTAAAGTTGTATTTTGGCTCAACTAGTTTCCAACTTGCTTTAGGCGATTTGAATGAATTCAATTCAAAATAGTACAAGTCATTAAATACGTCATTCTCCAATTGACCTCCAAATAAGTAAAGCCGAGACGATTGGTTGTTTAATGATATTACCCCCAAAGTGTGTCCATATCTACCATTAGGTTTATTTTGAATATGGCCTGGAATAGTATATTTGTTGTTGTTGATGTTGAACAAGTAAAAATTGTTATCAGGGAAGCCATTCTCATCGGTCTCCACAGTATCTCCTCCATAAATGATAAATGCGTTACCACATAATACAGAAGAATGGCCTACTCTTGCAGGCGGGTTATTGTTGCTGTTTAAAATTTCGATATTTTCAGCAACATAGTTCAACACCTCACCTTGACCACCTTCTTGCGGTATAATTTTCCAAGTATCTCCAAACACCGAACCTTCTTTTAATCCACCCATTATGAAGATTTCATTCTTCTCGCTTGAAATTGAAGATGCGGCATGCCTGTACCGAGGGAATGGAGAGTTGAATATTTTGAACCTATTCCAAGGATTCATGACATTCAAGTTTGGTGGAGGACGAGATTTGTAAGGTATAGTAGCTCCAAATGCAGCTTCTCCGTAAGGCTTCTCTCCGTATAGTGCCTGCTGCTGCTGCTGTTGACGAGTCAATGGTTCATGAATCAGTGGCATGGTTTCTTGGTAGCTGTTAACTTCGTTATTGCTGTTGTTGTTGTTGTTGTTAACACTTTTTCCAAATCTTTTAGAACTAAAGAGTTTCAGGTGTAAATGAGCAGGCGAGTTTGCTGTTTCTCCAATTGAACTTGTTGCTGAAGCACCTGATGAAGCAGCTGATGATCTTATTCTTGACTTTCGTTTTTTCGAGAAAAGTTCCTGTTGGTGCTGCTGTTTCTGCTGCTGTTTCTGCTGCTCTTGCAGTTGGTTTTGTTGCTGATTTGGGTTATCTGGGTTTAGCTGTTTCTTCTTTACGAACCTAAACTTGGCCATACCTTGTTGAAAAGAAAAGCCAAGGACTTTAAGGTTTTTATTTGAAAGAAAAATAAAGGGAAATAAGTTAAAGGGAAATGAGCTAAAGGGGAAGGGAAAATCCTGAATTAGGGATCAGTTGAAGGGGAGTGGGGGGGGGGGGGGGGGGGGGTGGGAAAAAGATATTTGAGAGGGGAATATATTTATACTTGTAACTTGACAACTTAGTCTTTTTTTTCCAAACCACCGTTTAAATTTGTAACTTACCCTTTAATGGTACCTAAAAAGGTTAACCTTCTCGTAGTTTATAACTTAAATTACTTGTCTTGGGTTTGGTTAATTGGTAAAATTTGCAATCGGCAATTATTAAATAATATTTTTATGCAACAATATTGCAAAAGTGCACGACTAAATTAACTTACAATAATACCGAAATAGTAATATCGTATAATGTAGCATGTATTATATAATGTAGCATGTATTATATAATGTAGCATGTGTTATTATATAATGTATCATATATTATATAATATATTATATAATATAATATATGGTTTGACTTGTATATAATATATGGCTGATATGGTTTGACTTGTATATATGGGTTGACTTAGATTATGGGTTGATTTAGATTCATATATATATAATGTATGATTTGTATACAATGTAATTAATCAAAAAAGCCTTACCTTTTTTCTATACTTACCTCTTTTCTTCTCCTATGTTTCCCTCTTTTCTTCTCCTATGTTTCCCTTTTTTCTTCTCCTATGTTTCCCTCTTTTCTTCTCCTATGTTTCCCTATGTTTCCCTATGTTTTGCTATGTTTTGCTATCTTTTCCTTCTCCTCTGTTTTTATTACTCAACAAGGATGTCTTTTTTCTTTCCTAGAACGGCCAGTTTCAATTTTTAAACCACAAAGGAAACCATTGTCTCTTGTCTTGATATTTATTTATTTTTTTTTTTTTCCTCTCAGGGAATTTAATATTAACTGATTTGGGTAATTATCATAAATAGAGAATACTAGCTTAGGTTAAACCTTATCTCACCTTAAAAGCTAAGAAATTGAACTATAATAGTATGAATATGAAACTATGAAGCTGTGACTATGAAGCTCCGGGAAACTGGAACTTTGAAACGGGAACTTTGAAACTGGAACTTTGAAACTCCGGGAAAGGTTAAGTAGGAAATATTCGAATTCATTGGTGATTATTTGATGCCTTACCTCCGATGGACTAAAAATGCGGCTGGAATTTCCCCCACCCCAACCCCACAAATTAATTGTAACAGTAACAACACTATCGAGCAGAGCGAGATAGTGGAGCAGCACTGACTAGCTTCTATTATTATCTGCATGCTTTAGATGCTACAGACGTTATTGACACTATCGACACTATCGACACTATTGACACCATCGACACTATCGAGCAGAGCGAGATAGTGGGGCACACTAATACACTAGCTATACACTACTATATATACACTACTATATATACACTACTATATATACACTAGATACACTCCATTGTAATTGTATGGTGGCAGCTAGTGTGCCCCACTATCGAGCAGAGCGAGATAGCGTCGATATTGTTGCTACAAAGTGTTGGGGGCAGCTAGTGCCCCACTATCTCGCTCTGCTCGATAGCCTCAATAGTGCTCGATAGCCTCGATAGTGCTCGATAGCCTCGATAGTGCTCGATAGCCTCGATAGTGTTTCTACAAATTGTTGGGGGCAGCTAGTGCCGCTCTTCTCGATAGCATCGATAGTGTCAATTATATGGTAGTGTACATATGTCAAGTAATTCCTCTAATGAAAACACCCGAGTTTGATGAAAGTAGGCTCAAGAAGGCTCAAGAAGGTTTACGTAGGCTTGCGTAGGCTTACGTAGGCTTACGTAGGATCAAGTAGGCTCAAGTAGGCTCAAAATGTCAAAATATACGTTGCATCATAGTTTTGACAATTTGACAACTTGTGTCGCTGTTGGATAGTGTCTACAAAGTGCTACTCCTCTATCGAGCGACACTATCGAGCAGAGCGACACTATCGAGCAGAGCGACACTATCGAGCAGAGCGAGATAGTGTTGAAACAAGTTACCGAGTATTGCTTCACTATCTCACTCTACTGGACAGTGTCGGACGCTCTGCTCGATAGTGTTGAAACAAGTTACCGAGTATTGCTCCACTATCTCACTCTACTGGACAGTGTCGGACGCTCTGCTCGATAGTGTTGAAACAAGTTACCGAGTATGGCTCCACTATCTCGCTCTGCTCGATAGTGTCGGACGCTCTACTCAATAGTGTCGCAATTCAATCTTTACAACTACAACTTTTTTTTCTGCCAAAAAGCAGCCACATAATCCATGTTATACCATAATCATTGCTTCAATCGCAATAAACTCCCCCCTCTCTACGATGGCATCGGTAGTGTTTCTACAAAGTGTTGGGGGTATATTCAGTGCTGCTCTACTATCTCTCTTTGCTCGATAGTGTCAATACCAGCTAGTGTCAATACCAGCTAGTGTCGATACCAGCTAAGTAAGGGGCCCTACTGTTCTCGCTTGGCTCGATAGGTGTTGTCAAACGCTACCATTTGGCTTTTGGTAAAAATTTCCATCTGTGTCGCGACGATGTCCAACGTCGCGACTTTACTTGTCGCAAGATTTTTCGCGTCACTCTTTTCGTTTAAAGAAAATTCCACCAAAGGTGAATCACCTTTGGGTGTTGGTGTTTGGTGTTTTAGTGTTTTAGTGTTGGTGTTTTGGTGTTGGTGAATTGGCCTTGTGATCCCGGAAATGGACGTTTATGACTATGACCCTACTACACATTTGAGCGAGATATTTGACTCGCCAGAAATGTTAAGTCAAATACCACAAGTTTTATCACACATTAATCAGTACAAGTTACAGGTCAACAAGGATATTGCTCGACTTAAAAGCAGATACGATGCCACTACAATGTTAGATAATGACATTGAAGAGCTCACAGCTGATATACGGGATGTTAAGCAAAGCGCAAAGTCAACAAATGCAACAATAACGCGGATGACCAGCTCAATACAAAATTTGGATTGCTATAAAAAGAACTTGGTTTTGTCAATGACGGTGTTTAAACGATTGCAAATGCTCATTAATGTAAATAACAACTTGAAATCTATAATATCAACTCACAACTATAGAGAAATATACTCGAAATTGGGGGTAATGAAGGAATTGCTATCATTTTTCCAGCAGTATAAATCGATTGACAAGATCAATCAAATTCACTTGATGATTGTACATACTCAAAACAAATTGATTGATGATGTATTTATAGACTTTGAGGAGTACTTGAAGCAAGAAAAAATGGGTGAGAAACAGGAAGCAAATCTACTATATGGAGCAAGAATATTAGAATTGATCGATGTAAAATACAAGAGCAAACTACTCAATTGGTTTAATAACTTGCAATTGAGAGATTTGAAAAACATATTTAGTCAAGCCGATGATGAAGCAGGGTCAATTGAAGGAATTGGCAGGAGATTCATTTATTTCAACAAGATACTAAAACAAGTTCAACAATTGAAGATTTTTCCTCAAGAATGGCAAGTTCCGATTGGCATCATTCACGAATTTTGCAAAATAACCAAATACGACTTAACAAATACGTTACGAAGTAGAAGGTTTAATTCCGATGCTCTTATTGCAAGCTTAACCAAAACGATTGAGTTTGAAAAACAACTAAATCTGGAATTCCCTCAAGAGACTGAGTTTAATTTGTCAAAAGTGTTTGAACCATATTTGTCAATATGGGTACAAGAACAAGACAAATATTTACAAGCTAAGTTCTTGGAGTTTGCATCAACTCCGCAATTACCTGAAGAATTGATTAAGGATATCAATGCTAGTGTCCCTAATATTGCTGTGACGTCAATAGAGTTGTTCAAGTTATTTCAAAAGATTCTAACCCTGATTTTGAAGTTATCTCATGGAGAAGTATTGATACAATTGGCAAAAATGTTTAACAAATATTTATTTGAATATCTTAATAGGATATTGATGCCTGTTTTGCCTAGAAATGATGAGGATATAGTTGGAACTGAAGCTATAAAGTATTTAACTATGTTGTTGAATACTGCAGATTACATCGTGGGCAACATTGAAGAAATAAATGAGAAATTGCAATTTGTCATTCAAGAAGAGCTGAAACTGAAATTGCCAACCTTGAACAGCGATATATTCTTACAATTGGTGAATAAAAGTATATCTGCATTGCTTGTTAAATTGACAAACGACTACAAGCCCTGCTGGAGGGAATTTTTCAATATTGATTGGCAGAATATGGAGTCAGTTGGTGATCTTTCTTCTTATATGTTTGATATCAAGCAAATAACACAGGACAATCTAAAAATGATTCTTCCATTAATTATCAGAGATAGTTATGTGAGAAACTATAATGACAAATTAGTTGAACTCTTAGTCACCACCATTGCCAACAATTTGAGATTTGTTAAGCCATTAACAATAACAAGTTTAGAACAAACATTACTCGATGTCATCTCCCTTAAGGAAACGTGCTTGAAGTTTCCCGAATTTGCTAATAAGCAAAGCTCAAAATCGTATTTGAAATACGTCAATACCCATTTCCAAGAACTTGAATCTATTTTGAAAATCATTATGGTTCCCAATAAACCTATTGAAAACTATATCGAAAGTTATTTCGAGTTGATTGGAGGAAGATCAGTAAGCAATTTCATCAAGATTCTTAATCTTAAAAAGATTGATAAATCTGTGCATTATAAATACGTAGATAATTTCAAGTTGCAGTTGAGTATTGATGATGATTCTAGCGACCACCCACACCACATAAACCAGCTATTGACTAATCTTGAGGATGATGATATGAACCAACTTGGCAGTGGCAATGGCAGTGGCACCGGTGCCTCGGGAGCTATTATCGCCGCTATTCCTGGAAGACTATCTAGTCCTCCAGCATCCGGTGTCTCCTCACCAATGTTGCTACCCAAGATGAATCAATTTGAAAAGAACATTCGTGAATTGGCCATATCTGGAGAAACTCACGTTAGTAAATTAAATGAAAACTTTAGAAATTTCGGGAAATTTTTTAGAAAAGACGAACGATAATGGCAAGGGCTATTAGTTGCAGTACTCAAGACATGCTTACACAACTAGTAGTTACTCTTTGACCTTGCTTTTTATGCTAGGTTGAGGGTTGAAGAGTTGATGAACAAGAACAGTTTCAAGAGTTTTACATTTGGTAGCGAGTTCTCATGTATATTTTTTCGAGTGCGTAATGGAAACCTCATCGGCTTTTTTGTTGAAGAAGACCCCCCGTTTTCCATACGATGAGATTGATCAAGATCTGTGGAATACAAAGTATAGATGCCGCGGAAACAGCAGTGATAAACGGCGCGGATCTCTTGGGTTGTATTCTCGTCCCTAAAAGATCACGTACCGTGACGCCTGATTTAGCGAAACGAATTTCTCAGCTTGTACGCCATAAACGAAGCAAGACTATTGAACAGATACTTGAAGGTATAGCAAAGCGAGATTTTGCCAGTTCAACTGTATTGGATTATTTTGCATTTTTGCAACACGAAATTCTTCAAAATGGTCCCTTTCTTGTGGGAGTTTTTCGAAATCAACCATTTGATGAAGTGCTTCATGTAGCTAAAGAATTGAATTTGGATTTTATTCAATTACATGGTGATGAAAACAAATTAGAGTTTATCAAGGCAGGGAAAGAACACGGATTCGGAGTGATTCCAAGATACGTTATACCACAGCAGGTTGAAAAGTTGAAGTCCGATAGTGAAGAGATCATGAAGTTGGGTTCCTTAAGTATACCGCTTTTAGATTCAGATCAAGGTGGAGAGGGGAAAGTCATTGATTGGGAATACATCAATGTTAATTTGGGTTTCACAAGGTGTATTTTAGCAGGCGGATTGAATCCGGAGAATCTTGCCCAAACAGAACAAGTAAACAATGTGATTGGGTATGACGTAAGTGGTGGTGTAGAGACTAATGGTGAGAAGGATATGGTCAAAATTGCACAGTTTATTGCAAGAGGTAAAGCTATATAGGGAATGGTCCTGGTTGTGCGTATGTGTGTGTGTGTGTGTGTGTTTAATCTTCTTGATCCCAATTACCTGGTCGTGGTTGTTTTGGCATCACAGGACCACCGGCTCTTTTAGCCATTATAATTTGATCAATAGATAAAACTGTATTTGTAGCTTCAACAGCTAAATCAATAGCCGATTGTTTGGTGGCTAATATATCATAAACTCCAGTATCAGTAACTTCACCGCTATCTATATCTAATCCATATTTTAATCCATCTTCTTCCGAGTGTGCCGCGTGTAAGTTACTTAATACCTCTGAAGTATCAAATCCAGAAGTTTCTGCTAATACTCGAGGTACAACTTCAAACGCTTTTGCAAAATTTTTGATTGCCAATTGTAATAATCCAGGTGTAGTTTCACCATACTGTGTGATGCGTTTCATCAACTCTACTTCAACTGCTCCTGCACCAGGCAATAATCTATCATCCTTAAGCAACCCTTTTATTGCGCTAACTCCATCGTCTATTGTTCTTTCAATATCGTCAAGGCTATTCTGAGTTGCTCCTCTAATCACTATAGTCGCTGTTCTTGAGGATGATGAATCTTGTCTGAAAATAGTCACATTGTCGCCCCCAATTTCTTTAGTTTCTATGATATCGATATACCCCATTTCATCGGCCATTGGTGCACCTAATCTAGGCAAGGGAGTTGCTCCACACACCTGACATATTCTTCTCAAATCAAATTTCGAGGGCACTCGTAATACCAAGATATTGTATTTGTTGAGATAGTGTAATGCCAATCCGCCAACATTGGCTCCTGCAACAATCACCTTTGCGCCCGAGTCATTGATTTCTTTGCACATTTGTTCCAATTGTTGCTCTTCGCCTTTTGAGAAATCAAGCATTTCTTGTGCATTGTGGAGTAGTACCGTTCCCTTTGTCTCTGTAGTCGATATATCTATTGGACATGAATACACTACAACTTTTGAACCCTTGATATTCTTGACTGATCCTTCAGGCTCTCTTGGAAACACCATACCTTTAACTACTTGAGATTGCGATAACGAAGAGCCCATAATCTTAACAACTCTTATACTATCAACATTGAAACTCAAGGGGTTTTTGGGATTGATGGTAGTTCTTACAGCTTCAACTACTAATTTAGCAATCAAGTCCTCAACTCCATATTGCTTTGCTGCAATAACCGGTTTAATCGCCTTTAATAGATCATCGCCAAAAGACTCGATTTTGTCAACAACCAAGCTCCCTAACGTCTCCTTGACAAACTTATTGGCTAAATTGAAACCCTGGATGATGTCAGATACGTTCAAGCCCAATAATAACAATTTTTCAGCAACATTGAGAAACTCGCCAGCCAATATAATTACAAGATTGGTATTGTCGCCCATTTCAAACTCTTGCTGCTTCGAAGCCATAATTAAAATCTTCACAACAGGATGAACAATTTCCATCTCATTCAACATGGTTGCTGCGTCGTTGGTAATGAATTTCTTACCCATCTTATTCACAACAATCTTGTTTCTCCCACTTGGTCCCATTGATGTTAACAAGATAGAAGAGATTTCACGCACAGCTTCAATATTCCTTAGAATTGCACCATCTGAATTAGAATATGATGAGTAGCCGCTCTTAAACAACCCTGCATTGGGTGCCTGTGGAAGCTTCAAAGACATTTTCTAGCTTTTGGTTTAATGTAATGGAATAGGAATAGGGATACTAAGAGAAGAGAAGAGAAGAACTGAAAAAATATTGAAAAAAAAAAAATTGTAGAAGAAGAAATAACGTTTAACACGAGCAAAGGAAATTTATAAAGAGATTCCGCCAGGATGGTAGAGCAAATCAGGGGGAAGGAGGACGAAGGAGGCGCGTTAGAGGCGCGCCGTTAAGCAGAAAAATTGGGGCGTGGGGCGCGGGGGGGGGATGTAAAGGCCTTTTGAATATATAGCTTTATTTGTAAAAGAGCCAGAAAGTTTGTATGAGTTCCGGTGAATGGTATGAGATAACTGTTCAATCTCTGTTCTTAGCCAAAGTATAGCCAAACTCATTTGCATTTTGGGTTCAAGTAGTTAGTACTCTTTGTAATGAGCTCGGCATTATTCGTCAGATTATGCAAATTCAATTAAAACGGGAAAAAAAAATAGCCAAGGTTGGGGATTTTTGCAATAACTCAACCCATTTTTTTTTCATCAAATGCTTCTTTATGGTTTAGCAAGAAGGAGCAATGTTTTGTTTAGTTCATTTAAGGGGCCGGTCAAGTGTAAACCGAAACGTCTGCCAATAAGTCTAATTGTTAGGCATCGTTGGACTTCAAACCTTTCTCAACAGCAGCAGCAGCATCTGCTGGAGAGGCCATTGCAACTGCATCTGCCAGAGAAGCCATTGCAACTGCATCTGCCAGAGAAGCCATTGCAACTGCATCTGCCAGAGAAGCCATTGCAACTGCATCTGCCAGAGAAGCCATTGCAACTGCATCTGCCAGAGAAGCCATTGCAACTGCATCTGCCAGAGAAGCCATTGCAACTGCATCTGCATCTGCATCTGCCAACGACTGGACTAAGTAGACTGTTATTTGACCCATCGATATGGACTCCGCCTAATGTGCTAACATATACACGTATTATTGCTACTCCCTTTATAGGATATAATATAGTTTTTGGTAGTTCTACTTGGGCGCTTCTGTTATTCACGTATTCCTGTGTTACGGATTTCATTGATGGGTATATAGCGCGGAAGTATGATATGAAATCGGTTGTTGGATCGATAATTGACCCTTTGGCGGACAAGTTTCTAATGACTGTTTGTACCTTATCCCTAGCCTATGCACATTCCATACCACCAGTCATTGCATCAATTATCATTGGCCGTGATGTGTTGTTGAGTTTCATGTCGTTTTATTACCGATTTAAAAGCTTACCTTTGCCAAGGACATTTGATAGATTTGTAAGTATTGGACAAATCCCTACAATTAGTGTTCATCCGAACTTGTTGGGGAAATTGAACACGGCATTGCAAATGCTTTATATAGGAAGTTTGGTTTATAAGCCAATTTTGGAAGAATATATTGCTGATTCTTTTTTCAATGACTTGGGATGGATTGTTGGTGCTACAACTTTGCTCAGCGGTGCATCTTATGTTTTCAGCAAGAGTTCATGGAAATATGTGAAATAATAGGGTCGTTACATTGAATTATTAAAGCTTTGAAAAGTGGTGAATTGTGTTTCAAGTGAAGGAGAATTGAGACAAAAAAGACGATGAACACCTTTCTCGAGGTTTGTGGAGCTATATTTAGTTTCAACTGGGGATTGCAACTCGCTGATAAGGGATTGCAACTCGCTGACGTGATTAGGGACTCGACGGTTTTGTTGATAAACCTTTTTTGGTCAATGAGGAGCAAGATGTTGGTTAAACAATACTTGATGACGCGTTTCTTTTCAAAGGCTGATGATAATAGGTAATTTTGGAAATATTTGAGATGTTGGACGTTGGATGTTTTATTGATGATTTCAAGACATTCATTGATGCAAACTTGCATTGATAATGTGAGATTGAGATGTCTCCCTCTTAAGTTTGCTCTGTTTAGAAAATTGTATATTACTTGAGAATGTGTTTTGGAGTTGGGAATAGATAGAAAGTATTTGATAATCTGAAAGCATTTCTTTATGTCCCTTCGTTGGTTTGTTGGTTCTAATGAGTAAGTAGAGTAGTCTACACCAAAATGTTTCATTACGTGTTCAATGTCGGGGTCAATCTTATCCTCATACTTGTCGAAGATCTCTAAACATACAAAAGTTAGTATCGGTGTAATCAGTAGACACTATCGAGCAACACTAGCAACACTATCGAGCAAAGCGAGATAGTGTTGTAACAAGCTAGTCCACTATCGAGCAAAGCGAGATAGTGTTGTAACAAGCTACAAAGTGTTGCTCCACTATCTCGCTCTGCTCCATAGTGTCGACTAGTTCTGATAGTGTCGACTAGTTCTGCTCTATAGTGTCGACTAGCTCTGCTCGATAGTGTCTAGGTTCTGGAAAGGAAGAGGATCATACTATCAATCTGTACGCCTGTAGCATTCTTGTGATTGATAATCACGAGTGCTAGTGCTAGGGTAAAGTTCATTATACACGGGTCTAGGGGATTGTCAAATAAGTGAATACTGATGTTTGATGGAATTTGATCAGTTTTTTGACAACCAAAATGATTCAGATGTTGGCTGCGACGCTATCGAGTAGAGCATCCGACACTATCGAGGAGAGCTAGTCGACACTATCGAGCAAAGCGAGATAGTGGAGCAACACATTGTAGCTTGTTTCAACACTATCGAGCAAAGCGAGATAGTGTTGCTCGATAGTGTTGCTCGATAGTGTTGCTCGATAGTGTTGCTCGATTTTGTAGCTTGTTATTGTAATTATGTATATAGAAGAAATGTAGAAGAGGTGAGGAAGTGTAGAAGAGGTGAAGAAGAGGTGAAGAGGTGAAGAAGTGTAAAAGAGGTGAAGAAGTGTGTAGAGAAAAGTGTATAGAGAGCATATAGAAACATAGAAACATAGAAGGCATAGAAACCATATAGAAACCATATAAATGGGAGATTTATTGTATAATGAAATCCAGATACAATAAAAAAAGAGTTTTGTGCTGTTCAGTAATGAGTGTTTGTTGTTAAGAAGCTATTTTTGCCAGATACTTGGAAAGGTCCATCTGGGTATGGGTCCGAGGGGTAGGTTGAAGGAGTTACTTATAAAGCTGAGTCTGTTTCAAAGTGGGCTACAATGCTATACAATGTCTAGTATGTATAGGTCTGAGGGCAGCTAGTCAGTGCTCATTGAACAACATTATCGAGCAACACTATCGAGCAACACTATCGAGCAACACTATCGAGCAACACTATCGAGCAACACTATCGAGCAACACTATTGAGCAAAGCGAGATAGTGTTGTAACAAGCTACAAAGTGTTGCTCCACTATTGAGCGACACTATCTAGCAGACCAAGATAATGTTGTAACAAGTTACCGAGTATTGCTGCACTATCTCGCTCTGCTCGATAGTGTCTACAAATCTAGCATACCTGAATGGAACTTGACTGTTCTAGAATGGGAGCTGTTAGTATAGAGACTCACTTCAATAGACAAATTGTTATGATTGCTCCTTCCTCAAGAAACAAGCTTGATCTATTGTTTGTTTAATTTCTGGTTTTATTGTTCTATATTGTTTAAAAAGTCATTACGACAGGGTAATCGGCACCTACTAGACATTATCGAGCAGAGCAAGATAGTGTCTATTAAGTGTTGCTCGGTGTAGCAATTGTTGCTCCACTATCTCGCTCTGCTTGATAGTGTCGATAGTGTTGCTCGATAGTGTCGATAGTGTTGCTCGATAGTGTCGATAGTGTCGATGGTGACAATAGTGTCGCTATTTGATAGTGAAATTTCGCATCAAAGGAAAAACGTGTCTCGCTTTTTTCTACTAATACACACGTGCAGCGTTAAACTTTTCCTAATCAAGTAATAATTGTATATTTTTCCATTAATAATGCATCCTTCTCTAAATAGTAATCTCACCATATGTCCATATGTGTAACTTAACTTATTCCGAAAACCGTTAACAGCTAATAAAAACTGTTAGATTTCACAAGTTGGTGGGTATACAAACCCATTCCGTTAATCACAAATCACCATTTACCAATTCCTCCTTCATTTACAAACCCTGCACTTTCATAATTAGCCACCCTAGCCACATAAATAAAAACGTTATTTGTTCTCTCTCTCCGGAAAAAAAGAAATAAAAATAAAAAAATAAAAAAAATAAAAAAAAAATAAAAAAATTGATGGAAAGGTATATACCATAGAATCTTTTTGAAATAAAAGCTAGTCAACTTTGCACCTCAAAGGTAAGTAAAGAACTTAGATATAGGCATATTTTCATTATTAAAGCTATTGCAACTTATTTTTTTTTTTTCCCCCACAACTGTTGGCTTGTTTTTTGGTTATCTTTCTTGACGCTCAATACTTTTACTATTGTACATAGAGCGATGCTGACAAATTACCAGATGATCTTTAACCATCCACAGACTGCCTTACCGGAACGTGACCCGGTGCCATTACAACAAACAGAAGAGAATTCTTGTCACAATCCGCTCAATGTAATGCCGGTAACCAGCGAAATATCAGAGAATAGTGGCAATTTCACTTATAATCAAATGAATCACATTGATCTACCTCAAGCTCAGTTATCCCATGGTATTCAAAGCCAACTAAGTCTCAATAACCAAAATACTGCTCATTCAAGCTTGTCTCCTCAACAGCAACAACCACAGTCATCCTCACACTCACTAACACAAGCTCAAGTGCACAACGGTGAAAACTCGGCTCAAGAACAAATCGTTTCTATGAAGTTAGAACAAGCAACAGATGATGTCTACCTGGAACGTGTAAAATCTAGCATCAATCTTAACCATGTTCCTTTGGATGTGCCATTTGATATTTCCTCATACCCAATTACAAACCCTCCTATATTTGACTCAACTTACATGTTACCATATTCTAATGATGGTGTTCCACGCAAAAGAAGAATTTCTATCTCAAATGGACAAATTGGCCAAATAATGAACCATGAAGCATTTTTTGATGATTTCGATAATTCTTTGGATGATGAGTTATTTAGAAAGTTTAATAACTATGAATTAAACAGGCCAGGCACTAGTTTTAATAGTACAAATGACAGTGATGAGAATCGTAGTACAGGTTCCATGCATCAGTCTAGTGGCAGCGTTCCTCCTTCGGCACAGCAATTGCCACTACAGCCACAACCAGAACCACAACCGCAATATCATAGTCAGCTACTACATCCACCACCTCAACAACAGCAGCAGCAGCAACAACAACTACAACAGCAGCAGCAGCAGCAACAGCAACAGCAACAACAACAACAACAACAACAACAGCAACAACAACAACAATACCAATTTCAACAACAGCTACATACTCAACCTCTCCTGCATCCCCCGGAGAATCAGCAACAGCAACAGCAGAGTCAGTTACATACCCATCATCCCCAGACGATCTCCAGAGCCAATGCACCACCACCACCGCAAGTTGCAGGAGTTCCCCCGCCAAACCATCAACTAATCTACAATAATGAAATCATATACAACCCCAATAATGGGCCAATAACAGGCACTGCAGCTTGGAAGAAAGAACGATTACTCGAAAGAAACAGAATAGCTGCATCAAAATGTAGACAACGTAAGAAAAATGCCCAGCTTTTATTACAAGATAATGTCAATAGGATGGAAAAAGATTTGAATAGTAAGAATGAGAAAATACAGGCACTAGAGGAATTATTTAAGCATTTTAAAAAGAATATCGCAAGTTATTTGGAAAAAGACGTGGGTGAGAGAGACGATAGATTGTTGAGAGAATTGATAAATTTTGTATAGGTATTGGAAGAAAACTTTTGTTTGTACTAATTGTTGGTAGAGGTGGCTAATTTAGGCAATCCGGACTCATTGATTAAGGACTCCTCTGTAGACTGAGGTCCTTCACCTATAGTAGTCAAGATAACTCTAGAAACGCCCTTTATTTCATCTTCATTATTGCCATGTTGAAATTTTTTATGATTCCATCCATCAACACTACCAAAATATTTGTACATTGCACCTAATACTTTTTCCTCGTCTTTTTCATCATAATAAATGACAGCATTTGGACCAGCATCAAAAGTATAAGCAGCAATAACCTCACCAGCATCACTATTGATTCTCTCAACAACCTTGATGATTTTTTTGCTCGTATCGTTTAAGTAAAAAATCGGTGGATACGTATCTAAACAAGTTGCATGAAATTGATTCGAATCACGCATAGTCAATTCTGCAAATTTTGCAAAATCTTTATCTAAAATAGCTTGTTTCATTTCTTCAAACCTTTTAGGAACAACGTTTTCAATTCTGTGCTGGAATAAATCAGATGTTGCTACTGTAGCTTGCATTCCGGTTGTTGAAGATGTATCCTTCTTATCATCACTAACTACAAGAATCATTGCCTTCATGCTTGGCCAATGTGACAATGGGGCAATTTCGATAGCTTTTGAATCAGATCCGTCTACTTGCGAACCCATTTCCCAAGCTACAAACCCACCGAAAAGTGACCTGCATGCCGATCCTGAACCTTTTCTTGCAATTTTAGACAATTCTGAATTCGTTTGTTGTAGATTGAAGAGCTTAGCAATTGCGAAAATCAACGCGGCAAATCCTGCTGCCGAGGATGCTAATCCTGCTGCCGTAGGGAAATTGTTCTCGGAAACAATGTGTAATTTGTAATCTGACAATTTCGGTAATGAATCATCTTTTTCTTCGTCTTGTTTCCGCAATTGGCGTAAATCTGCTAAACAAGCTTGAGTCCTTGGTGTATTGAGGTTCTCCAATTTGCCATTGAGCCATAGCTGATCCTCTTTAAACGATGGCGACGCTGAAGCTGTTGTTAATGTACGCAAATCATCTTGCGATAAAGTTACTGATATGCTTGAATTCGTGGGCAAATTTAAAGACTTATCTCTTTTGCCCCAATACTTCAAAGTCTAGATAAATTGTGTTAGTACAAAATTGAGAAAAACAACCAAATGAAAACAAACCCAAGAGAGTAGGTGAATATAATTTCATACAGCAATGTTGACGGGAGCTGTCACCGATGCTTGGTAAATGCTCATTACAGATATTTATGATTCGAGATGAGATGAGATGAGATGTGCCACGTCTATAAAGTTTTTTTTCTCTTCTTGTTCAACTCGCAATGGAAAATTATACGAGCTTGAAAAAGTAAGCGTAATCGAGATTAACACCAGGTTTGACGTACGGTTCCTCCTTTGGTTCTCTCTCTCTCTCTCTCTCTCTCTCTCTCTCTCTCTCTCTCTCTCTCTGCATTGATGCTTCGGGGTTTGGTTTGGTTTGGTTTGGTTTTTTCTTGTCTTTTTCAATAAAACTACAACACTAATACTAATATTACTTTACTAATACACAAGTTCCTATTCTTTTTCCAATTCTCTTTTTTTATCTTTTTCATATCCCTACTTCTACTCCAACTCTCTTTATTTCAATGCTTTTTTAGTCCATTTCCAAATTCTTGCTTTACAATCACCAGATCCAGTTGCAAAAATGCACTCTGTATCTTTGAAATCGCTTGACACTGAAACACTTATAACTGAATTACGATGTCCCTGCAACATTAACAATGGATTACCCGAAGCTTGATCCCAAAATATAACACCACGATCTTTTGACCCAGATAATAGATACTCATTATTTGGGGTACAGCATACAGACAAAACGAAATCTTTATGTCCGATATATGTTGCTTCACAATTTGAGTTCTTATCTGATTTACCTTCGAGATTCCATAACTTAACAGTTCTATCCAATGATCCCGATGCAATTTGGTTACCTTTGTTTGAGAAAGCAACTGAATAAACTGAATCTTCATGGCCGTTGCCATTCTCATTTCCTGAATCTAACCTCTCAACTAAAAATCCTGTTGTCGAATCCCAAACTCTAACTGTACGGTCTAATGACCCAGCAGCAATCAACTTTCCATCTGGTGATACAGCAACTGTTGTAACACCATCTTCAATACTTAATGTTAACGAACATTGAGAAGACCTTAAACTCCAAATTCTAACTGATCTATCTCCAGAACCAGAAACCAAACGGTCACCGTTGGGGAAGAAATCAAGTGAATAAATATCTTGTTCGTGTCCTCTAAGCACTTTGATTATTCTCCTTGTAGCTAAATCCCAAATTCGGATCAATTTATCCTCGGCACCGGTTGCTAACAATTTACCATCTGGGGAAAAACAAACTGATCTAATGTATAAATCACCATTCTGGGTTGGTGCGTCTTCTTCTCTAGTCTCGGGTGAAGAAACTTCATCTACCAACTTGGCAACCAACTCACCAGTCTCGACATTAAACACTTGAGTTGTTTTATTAGAACCAGTAGCAATAAATTTTCCATCTTTGGAGAATCTAACACAACAAACAACTGAAGAATGGTCCAAAGAATGAATCAACTCAACATCCAAATCACGAGCAAAAGCAGGGTTATATAATACATAGTAGTCTAGGTTTTGTTTTTTGAAATCTGGATTGGCCTTAGCAACATCTAAATCGGATAAATAAGGAGGTATTTCCTTAACATGGTTAGCTTTTTGTGCTGGGCTTACAATATATTGAGATTTGTCAATAATTATCAATCCATTATTAGCTGGTGGTGCAGCTGAAGTAGCTGGAGACTGAGCAATAGCACTAGGCTGTTGCTGTTGAACCGGTTGCGGTTGCGATTGCGGTTGTGGTTGTGGTGGAGAAGTTGCTACTGGTGGCTGTGATGGCTGTGATGGCTGTGATGGCTGTTGTTGTTGTGGTGGTTGCAGTTGTTGTTGTTGCTGCTGAACTGGTTGTTGCTGGAGCGGGATCGGAGTTTGGTGTGGTTGTTGTTGCTGTTGCTGTGGTTGTTGCAGTGGTTGTTGAATGGGTGGCACTTGCTGGTGGACAGGTTGTATCTGAGGTGGAGACTGTTGTTGGACAGTTTGAGCTTGTTGTTGAGCTTGTTGAGCTTGTTGAGCTTGTTGTTGAGCTTGTTGTTGAGCTTGTTGATGCTGATAGCCATTCTTCATCTGTCTATCTCTATTTTCCAACTCTGTTTTCAATCTCAATATCTCCTCTTCATATGCTTCTTTAATCTTTCTATGAGCTATTTCCAACTCATAAACAGTTTGTCTAATTTGTTGCAACTCAGTGTTCTGTTGCGAGTACTTCAAATGGTAATCATCTTCAATCTTTTTGAAACTGGTAGCCTCTGTTAAAGCATAATCAAACTCCGTCTTTATAGCATCCAATAACTCGTTCAAACGAGTTTGATGAGTTCTCTGGTTATAAACAGACATTGGCGAAAAAAAGCGTGCGTACAAACAAAATGTCACGAAATGCGGCTGACCAGGGTACGAAATAGAAAGCTAGCTTGGTGAAGTTCTGGTAAGGTTGAATTTAACCGCAGCAGGAGGGGCAGGACACACTTATGGGGGGGCGGGGCGGCGGCAGTTACCCTATACTCTTTCAATAACTAAAACGTTTCGTTGAGGTTTTTTTGTTGAATGTGTTTTTTTTTTTTTTCTTTTGGCTTTTTTTCTCCTTCAAGGTTTCGCTGGGCTCGCGGAACACTAGCCGAGCCAGAGACGACGACCTTCTAGAGACTAGACGAGTGAAACGAGTCTAGTCGATAGAGAGAATAAAGAGAAGAGAGAGTAGTTAGAGTGTAGAGAGAAGAGAGAGTAGTTAGACTGTAGAGAGGCTAGGTAGAGTAGTTTGAGTGTAGATAGAATAGTGGGCAAAGATGGTACTAAGAAGAAGCTGTTTTACGTATTGTTTAGAATCAATAGTTGGATAAGTTTACACGGGGGTTCCTTTTCTCATGAGCCGATTGGTTCTCGAGCAAGTCAGAAGCAAGTACTAAACAACAAGTAGGTAGTAAATATGCAAATACTCATTCCCGCTCTTTTACTTCCTGCTACAATCAGTGTTGTTCTTCCCCTGCTTGAGTACGACACTAGTTCGCTTCGCTCGCTAGTGGAGCACACTGTTGGGGGATGGTTTTATGTTGATACAATCTATAGAATAATAGAATAATAAGTCACAAATGAATCCTACGAGTGTCTGTACTCATCTATCTCGCTTTACTCAATAGTTTGTCAATAGTGTTTAGATGTTGATGTGTGTGTGTGTGTGTTTGGGTCTACACCCCCTGTTTTCTGGAAAGAACACCCCCTGTCTTACACCCCCTATAGAAATTTGGCCTTCCATGTTCACCACAAAAGTAAAATTCAAAACAAGGAAAAACGTTTTAAATATGCCACGTCACGTGTCTTACAAAAAAGAGGAAATTGCGACATCCTTCAAAATGACAATAAATGACAGACACTAAATGACAGATTGAAAATGATACACGATAAGCGCAGACAGTAAACCGTAGATGCCACGACAATAACGACATTGTCGCCTCTTTAACTAACCACAGTCAATATCATCTACATTTACTAAATAGATACTTACATCTTTAGAATATTGGAGTAATTATATAGAAGTAAAAGGTACAAATGAGGTCCTACAAGTGTCGCTAGTCGGTGGCAGCTATAAAGTATTGCTCCACTATCTAGCGAAGCGAGCTAGTGTCGCTAGTCGGTGGCAGCTATAAAGTATCGCTTCGCTCGATAGCGATGTCGACATCAAATGATTTTCACCAACCAGCTGGTGAATTTGTCTACCATCTCGTTGGTAACGTCGTGTCCCACGCCATCTTGAATAAAGACTTCAGTCAGATCATTGGTGTTCATATAAGAATCGCACCACACGCTACTCAATTTCTTAGGAACCAATTGATCTTCTGCACCAAACGCAGCATACATCTTGATTTCGTTCATGGGGAAATTCTCAAAAATCTCTTCATCTTGTTGAGATAGGTATTTGTGCAAGTGTTCTGGATACTTGTGCTTTTCCTCTTTGGTCAAGTTTAACTCATCATAAGTATAGTAAAACCACTTTTTATCGTAATCCTCACTTTCAAGTGAATTTTGCTTTAATCGGTTGATCAACAAACTAGACAAATCAACACAACCAACCACTGGGTTGATTATATGCACTAATCCCGGGTATTCATTAACAAATCTGAATACAGTATGAGCTCCAAGTGAATAGCCACTCAAAATATTTCTGAATCGGAAATTCCAATGTTGATTTTGTTGTTTAAATTCACCTGTCAATAAACTTTCTAAATCAAGATAACTCGGTAAGAAATCCATAATAAGCTTCAAGTCGGCAACATTACCCATTATGCTGCTAAACATATCCAACGCATGTAAATCGTTTCCTTTGATCCAATCTTGATTACGTGCCTTGTTGATCATTCTCGACCCATGATTTCGTAAATCAAAAGTAACACAAATTAATGGCTCTACAGAAGCTTTCGAGCTTTTGGTGTAGTATTGGTCTAAGATGGTATACGCTAACGCCTCGGTGTATTTGTGGTCACCACCTCGCTGGTGTATCAAGTAGAGAACATTGATAGGAATATCGTCAACATTTGTTGGAGAATTATCAAACGATTCAATATAGGAGCGTAATGTTTCTGTATTGTAAACATAAGTATTGATTCCTCCTATCAAATACTCTACCTTGGAGAACGCTTGGGGGTCATGGTCAAATACCTTCATTTCTTAAAGCCAATTGATAAAGAAGAACGTGGGGATATAAAATGGGGATATAAAATGGTGATGTAAAATTGGACACAATTTTTCAAATAATATTGGGGCTACCAAATTCCGTTACTACTTTTCATCCACTACTTTCCGCTACCTATCAAAGATAGCAGTTGCCTTACCAATAAAATCGAAATACAATACAATAAATGAACAAGCAGTCCAAGCGAGACGCAGTGGTCTATTACAACATCTTTTGTAGAAGTACAATTAGGGATTAGTCTGGTAATTAATTGGAAATAATACAAACATCTCACCTTTTTATTTTGTTCACAAGTGGACCTTCACTTTCATCATCATCATCTTCTTCTTCTTCTTCTTCTTCTTCTTCTTCTTCTTCTTCTTCTTCATCTTCATCTTCTTCTTCCTCATCGTCATCATCTTCTTCCTCTGCGCCTTCATCAACATTATTTTCATCGTTTTCGTTTTCTCCGTCTTCTTCCTCCACTTCATCCTCTTTTGTAGTAGGTGGCCCCAACTTCTGACACACAAAATCAACAACTTCTCGCCAAGACCTCATACCGCCCATTGCAATATTTCCATCCATATCAACAAATTTCTCCACAGGTTTTAGTATACTCATATTGGGATAAGTTTCTTGTAATTGGGTCAATTGTCTCTTTGTTATTGGATGGGAATACATTGAACTTGTTAATGCTAGTGCAGATATAATTGGTTTTGGTGCTGTTATGCTATTGGAAATCACTGTTGTGTCCTTCTTCACTTCACCTGGCATGGTATTAAACTGTTGTTGCAATTGTGGCTTCGAGCTCTGGGTTTCTGTATAATGGATTTGAGGCACTGGCCAAACTCTTAATAAATCAGTCAATAAATTGTCTGATAACCCGGTTATTAATTTGGCCATCGTATTTGCTGATAACGGAGCTAGTAATAACACATCCGTCCATCTTTGTAAATCATAAACTAAACTGTATTGTTGTAGATGCTGCAAAAGGTACGGTTTTTTTAATGGTAAATTCCCCGTGGTGACCGCTTGATTGTAGATTTTTTGAAAAGGTGAAGTAAGGAAATACTTCCATCCATCGTCACTAAACCATACTTTCACCCCCATCTCATCAAATTTATGAAGCTTTTCCAGTAGAATGTACTCAGCTGATTTTGTAAGAATTACTTGAATCTCCAACTTATCCTTCGTGTAGAGCTCAAACAATTTACCAATCAATAAGAAAACGTTCTTGTGGATAGAGATACAGCCAGTAACGCCAATTAGAAGGTGTAACTTGTTGTCTTCAGGAGCCAATCTCAAGCTTGGTAAATTCTCTTCGGTGCTGTTAGTCGATTGACGCGCAGATCCAATAAACTTTTTATCGTCAACTTGAAGATATCTTAATGAGTTTATTCGACTAGGGTGGGGCATACTTGGTTGCTGTTGTTGTTGTGATGGTTGTGATGGTTGCTGTTGTTGCTGTTGTTGCTGTTGTTGTTGTTGTTGTTGTTGTTGTTGTTGTTGTTGTTGTTGTTGTTGTTGTTGCTGTGGTGGTGGTGGTTGTTGTGGTGGTATTTGTTGTTGTGGTGGTATTTGTTGTTGTTGTTGTTGTTGTTGTTGCTGTGGTGGTGGTGGTTGTTGTGGCGGTTGTTGTTGTTGCTCTTGCTGGAAAGAGGAACTTTGCAAATAGGCGGCTATTGGTGTTGACGAGCTTGACTGGGTAGGCGAAGCAACTGATAATCCCCTTGAAGACATTGTTGATGGATAATAAGATGAAGAAATAACAGCAAATTCTTCACCTTGATTATTTGGTCCAAGGCCATGATTTGTAGGACTGATATTGTCTAAAGACACGAAATGGGGATGCTGGTTCTCGTTATCAGAATTAGCCGCACTATTTGTTCCGTTACTCTTACTAGCATCATTACCCTGTGTATTCACAGCTGACGATTGCGACAAACACGATTTCAAATTCAAATCTGGTTTAACAACTAGTTTCTTAGCTGAGGAAGGGGCCGAGACAGAAGCAGAAGTAGAAGCAGCGGTAGCGGTAGCTGATTTTGAATTTGTTTCCGGCAGCAGCGTGGTATTCACCAAATCGCTATTTTTCAATTGTGATGGTTTAGTTGGTACTGGTGATTGTAAGAAACTGGCAACTGCATTATCAGTATCGCACTGTGACGGTTTAACCTTGACTGTAATCAGATCAGCATTAGACATGATAGTGACAGGCGGGGAGGGCGGGAGCGTTGTGTTCCAACCTTATTTGCACCTATAATTGAAGTTTTATGGTGAATAACAAAAGTTTATTTACTATTTTTCTTTACTAAAAGGCTTAATCTGAGCCGTCGCGTTAAAGAAAATATTTTCTTTGAAAACCAAAGCCGTGCTATCAACAACACTATCGACGACACTATCGATGACACTATCGAGCGAAGCGAGATAGTGGAGAAACACTTTGTAGCAAGGAGTAAGTAGTAAATAATAAGTAGTGATAAGCTTTACTCGAGGATGGCGGCTAAGATATTTTATTATTCAAGCAACTTGACGTTGGTGCAAAATCTGTCGTATCGACACTACTATCGAGCGAAGCGAGATAGTGGAGAAAGACTTTGTAGAAACAGTATCTCCCTTTGCTCAATAGTGTCTACTACTTGTGTGGAAACAGTGTCTAGCTAGTTAATTGATGAAGCATTAGCTTCTGGTATATTAGGGGCAAGTACACTTGGAGATGATATGTCACGTGATTTATGCTTACTAATATTCCGCTATCGAGCGAAGCGAGACTATCGAGCGAAGCGATGTAGTAGAGAAACACTTCGTAGCAAGATAGTCAGTGGTACTCTACTATCGGGCAAACCGAAATGGTGTCTACTCAATAATGTCACTAGTCAGTGGTGCTCCACTATCAAGCAGAGCAAATGGTGTTTACTCAATAGTGTCACTAGTCAGTGGTGCTCCGCTATCTCGCTCTGCTCGATAGTGTCACTCAATAGTGTCACTAGTAAGTGGTGCTCCATTATCAAGCAGAGCAAACGGTGTCACTAGTCAGTGGTGCTCCACTATCTCGCTCTGCTCGATAGCGTCGTCGATAGTGTCGTTGATAGTGTCTACTCAATGGTACTCACGTGACCTATACATTACAAATATTCCGTTATTCCAAATCAGGAAAATAATCCTTAATTACCATTTCTATTGGTTTTACTAACAAGCTAAAAAGTGTTACTCCACAATCTCTAGTAAATGATGTACCACTATCGAGCGAAGCGAGATAGTGTTGTGGATAGAGTCCAATAAGTGGTGCACCACTATCGAGCGAAGCGAGATAGTGTTGTGGATAGTGTCGTCAATAGTGTCTAATAAGTGGTGCACCACTATCGAGCGAAGCGAGATAGTGTTGTGGATAGTGTCGTCAATAGTGTCTAATAAGTGGTGCTCCACTATCTCGCTTCGCTCGATAGTGTTGTGGATAGTGTCGTCAATAGTGTCTAATAAGTGGTGCACCACTATCGAGCGAAGCGAGATAGTGTTGTGGATAGTGTCGTCAATAGTGTCTAATAAGTGGTGCACCACTATCGAGCGAAGCGAGATAGTGTTGTGGATAGTGTCGTCAATAGTGTCTAATAAGTGGTGCTCCACTATCTCGCTTCGCTCGATAGTGTTGTGGATAGTGTCGTCAATAGTGTCTAATAAGTGGTGCTCCACTATCTCGCTTCGCTCGATAGTGTCGTCGATAGTGTCGTCGATAGTGCTAATGCATATGCTAATATCCCCACATATGCTACCTTCCATATTTTTACAAATAATCCGCGGTTCCAAATTAGGAAAAATATTCTTAATTATCATTTCTTTTGGTTTTACCAACAAGTTAAAAAGTGTTGCTCTACAATCTCTAGTCAGTGGTACACCACTATCGAGCGAAGGGAGATAGTATTGTGGATAGTGTCCAATAAGTGGTGCTCCGCTATCTCGCTTCGCTCGATAGTGTCCAATAAGTGGTGCACCACTATCTCGCTTCGCTCGATAGTGTCGATAGTGTCGTCGAAATTCCTCGCTTGAAACAAAAAAAGCACAGGCAAAAATTCAGCCAAATGAAGCCATTATATAATTGGGGTTCAATTTTTTATCCTTAAAGATTGAGTTTTCCGTTGTTACAAGTTGACTTGTTGGGCGGCAAAGAAAAATAAGGGCTATTAAGGAGGCGACACACACGACAAGCAACAAGTGACAATATAAACTTTTACCAATTTCCCCAAGTCTCATTTTTTTCTCCCCCCCCTTCGCCCCAAGTTCCCTTATCTCTTCTTTTACTTTTACTTGATCTTTTACTTTTGTCATTTATTGTCCTTTATTGTCATTTACCCTTTTTTTCCGTTTAAAAGAGAATTAAAAGTATGTCTAGTTCAGGTAAGACCACGGCTTTGCCATCTACTGCTGCCACCGCCACCACTACTACTACTATTGAGGAATCATATGCCGAGATTGAAAACCCAAATGCTTGGTATACGCCTTTAAAGGCAATTGCTCCAGGTGTGCAACATTTGAGAGGTGTGTTTTTCAAAGAGCTGAAAACCCACGATATTCAATTTAGATTAAATCAGTTGAGAAATTTGTATTTCGCAGTTAATGACAATATTGACGCTATTTGTGAAGCTTTGAATAAGGATTTCAACAGGATTTCCAGCGAAACTAGAAATTTGGAAATCTTGACTGGATTAAACGAATTGGTTCACACCATTGAGAACTTGCATGAGTGGACAAAACCGGAAAAAGTCTCTGACTTGCCAATAACTTTGAAAACCAACCCCATTTATATTGAACGAATCCCTTTGGGTGTTGTTTTAATTATTTCCCCGTTTAATTACCCATTCTTTTTATCTTTCTCAGCCGTGGTTGGTGCTATTGCCGGGGGAAATGCCGTTGTCCTAAAGCAATCTGAATTAACTCCAAATTTCAGTAGACTATTTTCGGAAATTTTGACAAGGGCTTTAGATGGTGATTGCTTTTTGGCAGTTAATGGTGGTGTTCCTGAAACAACTGAATTGTTGAATCAGAAATTCGACAAGATTATGTATACAGGTAATGGTATGGTTGGTAGGATTGTTGCTAAAAAGGCTGCAGAAACTTTGACTCCAGTTATATTGGAATTGGGTGGCAAATCTCCAGCTTTTATCTTGGATGACGTTCAAGATAAGGATATCGAAATAATCGCAAGAAGAATTGCTTGGGGCAGATTTACAAATGCTGGTCAAACATGTGTTGCTGTTGATTACGTATTGGTGCCAACAAAGTTGCATGCCAAATTCATTACTGCTTTAAAGAAAGTTTTGAATGAAGAGTTTTACCCTGGCTTGACTAAAGATGATCCTAATTTTACTCACATCATCCACGAACGCGCTTTCAACAACTTGTCAAAGATGATTGCTAGCTCTGATGGTGATATCATTGTTGGAGGTGAAACCGAAACCGATGCTGCTTCTAGATTCATTCCGCCTACTGTTATCGACAATGTTAAATGGTCAGATTCAACAATGCAACAAGAAATTTTTGGTCCAATCTTGCCAATAATCAAGTATGATTCATTGTCTGATGCAATTTCTGAGGTTGTTACACAACACGATACTCCATTAGCGCAGTACGTTTTTACAAGTGGTTCGGCTTCACCAAGATACAATAAACAGTTGAAACAAGTTCTTACAAATGTTAGATCGGGAGGTGTTATTGTCAATGATGTATTGATGCACGTTGCGTTGATCAATGCACCATTTGGTGGTATTGGAGAATCGGGGTACGGATCATACCATGGAATATTCTCTTTCCGTCATTTTACTCATGAGAGAACAACAATGGAACAGAAATTATGGAACGATTTTATGGTCAAGGCAAGATACCCTCCTCATTGTGAAGGCAAAGATAGATTAATCAAGACTTCCCAAGAAAGTTATGGTGGAAAGGTATGGTTTGATCGTTATGGAAACGTTCCAATTAATGGACCAGGTATATTCTTCAGTACTTGGAACACGGCTGCTGGTTTATGCAATTTGATTTATGAATTTGCAACTAAAAAGTTTTAAACAGGTTACGACTAACTGCTGCTTGTGGAAAAACGATTAGGATTCGCTACTTTTGTTTGTGACATTTTCTAATACTCGGGCAGTGTTGTTTATTTTCTTTCTTTCTTTCTTTCTTTTGTTTTATGTATAGCGTTAAGAGGTAATGAGTTGTTTTTATTGACCTTGACGTAGGGAAGATTAAGAGGGATTTATATATTGAATATGGCAAAAACTTAAATAAAGATGAGAGTTTCGCAACTTGTCTAATTTATTGACAAAATGATGTAAATGCATCTATTTGGCACTTTATTTTCAGTCGCATATGGTCGTAATTCCTATCGGGAACCCCGATAGGATTGAAAGAAAAATCTCTTTTCTTTTCTAACCAGTGGTCTACATATGTTTCTATGTTTCAGAATGTCATTTGGAAAAGGGGAAAAAAAAAACAGAAGGAAAAAAAATATAACGACAACTGCAGGACTCGAACCTACGCGGGCAGAGCCCAAAAGATAACTTTGAACAGTAAAACAATTCAAGTCTTTCTCCTTAACCACTCGGACAAGTTGCCATATTTTCAAGGTATTTTTGCTTGCAAGTTGTAGCAGTGTCTTTGATGGAGTATAAGATGGAGTACCATATTTTACTACTGCTTCATCAGTCACACGGCTATGGAAAGCAGCATATATCATGAGGCTGTAATCACATTTACCATGTTCCAATTTTGGCCACTGCAGAGGCCAAGATAATCATTAAGATTTTGATCGCATAGATTCATACTTATTTTCATTGATATTAGTGCCAATTATTTTCTTAAAAAAGTTGAAAGTTTTTGATCAATAGTGCTCACGTTAAACCAGAAAAGGGCAAAGGTAACTACTACTAAAACCCTTTTTTGTCAATAGTTTCGCTTAATTTATATATATATATATATATATATATAAAAGGAATATTGTCTATATCGATACACTCAAGGGCAACCCATATACAATTGGAGCAGCCCCATTCAAATACTTTAAATTACAAGCAGACCTACCTTTGTTTACAGCTTCAGTGATAACGGCTCTTTCATGCTCCTTACGTACCAATCCCCAATGATTGAACATTGTTATTGTAAATGCATCAATGTCCTTATCGGTTACATCCCAAAGATTAGCAAGAATTAAAGGTGATCCACAATTTAACCAACTAAGAATACTCCCCAGAGGCTCAAATCTCCCATTATCTTGAATCTCACCCGAGGAACAACCAATCAAGAATGTCGAGGGTAACAGTTTTTCCATCGACAGCTTCAACAACGATGTCATTTTGAAATATTGGTCACCTCCTCCATGCCCAATGTATAAATATAAGCTTGAATTCAAAATGTCCTTGATTATCCGACTTTCGTCAGGCTTCGTAGCTACCAAACCTGTCCACAGTTGATGACAGTCCACAAACGGTTTGAAACGAGCCTCGCTGCTTCTTAAGTCACCACCAGGATTGATAAGGTAGTAAGTATTCAGCTTATCCACCTCATGTTTGTTGCTTGCTAAACACTCCAACAACATTGATACCGACGGCATTCGTGTAACCGACCGTCCACGTAAAACATCCATCGATTCCCATGGAAAAAACGAGCAGCGTGAGCTAGGAATAAGGACAATATGACTTTGGTCTTTGGCTTTAAGGAAAGAGTATTTTCCAATTAGCAGCTTGATTGAAGTGTGAAGCTTTTCAAAATTAATATTTAACACTGATACGTTAGTGTGAAAAGTAATAAGGTGGATTATATATGTTAGCAAATCGTCAACACAGGCTCGGTCATATTCTTGCAACGAGTAAAAACACTCAAAAATATAGTTCGCTAAAGTAATACCCTTATTGATTGTCTTTGAAATCAACGTTCCAAGAATCTTGACTAGTTCCTCTTTGAATTTCATAAATAAACCTTGATCACAAGCTGTGAAAATTCCCTTAAATCCTCCAAACCAAAACTGCTCTACATGGTCACAAAGTTCCTTCAACTCAAAATCAAGAGTAAATCTCAACTTCCACCATCTTTTCCTATCTTCAACAGTTCGAACCAGTGCAGTGGTGGAGGCTTGAGTCGATTTCCGATTCTCTTCAAATATACGACGGTATTCAGACTTCATGGTTGCAAAGTTCATAACAGCAACACCTTCTCGCTCTTTAAAACGCGATGACGAAAGTCTGAGAAATACAAGATTGCGGTCTTTCTCATATTTGGATAATAATAAATCACCCGTTTGTTCGCAAATATCCAAGGTAATAACGTGCCAATCTCTAGGTATGCGCGTATTTAAATTGTCCTTAAATTTGTTATACTGATCTTCAAAGTTTGATATCGCAGGTTTCGGTGGCGAGGGAATGAAATCAGCCTTTGGCATGGATAGCATACTTTTACAATTTGTAAAAGGTACCGATTTGATGTGATCCTGTATAAAATACAAGCGATAAAGCAACTCCTTCCCTCTGTAAGCACTTATTAACGAAATTAAATGCACACAACGTGAAAAGTTGTAAAACAATTCCTTTTCCTGTAGTATCGGTAAACGCTTTTGCAGAAGTTTTTTCAACAAATTGTCTTTACAGCAAACAAGTGTGTTGAATATTTGAGGAGAAACAGATTTGATGTTTCCACCTGTAACCTCAGTTATTGCAGGAAAAATCTGAACTGAGCCTGGAACTGTTTCAAAAACCAGAGTTTCACTTAAGCTCTCAATGCTACTTTCTAGCATGGCTTTTGATTGATCCGAAGCTGTATACCCTTGAGCAAAGTCTGTGTTTAAGTACATGTATTCTCTATTGTCAAATGTGAGATTGTTTCTTAGGGTAGCAGTAGCAGTAGCAGTAGTAGTAATTGTATCGTTTAATATATTCGCAACTCTCTGATAGTACTGAACAGTCTTGTTATCACTGACTTTTTCGTCCCTATATTCAGCAAATTTCAGGAATTTCTCAATGTTTGCCAATTTGCCATAAATCCCAATTTTGAGCTTGTTGACACAATTCACAATCGGAATGTTAAATTCATCGTTCAATTTGACCCATTCGTTTAAATAAGTTGGAATGTTTTTCGACAAACCTAAATTAATAAGATTTTCAGTTGCAGCATTATAAACTTCAAAAAGGAGATGTACACATTCCCATTTCAAGTCGTTATCATCATCATCATCATCATCATCATCATAATCATAATCATCAACACTCCTCTTCTCGTTTACACACTTTACCTTGATGGAGCAAAGTATCTGCAAACTGGTTTTAATGTTTGAATACGCACTCACAGCATCATCTGTTATCCTTGCTGCTATAAACTGTAATTTTCCCAATATCAAAAAATTTGCCAATTTATCTTTTAATGGTAAGGATTTCGATTGTGACATATCAAATTCAGGCCTCAGATTAATAAGATGCAATAATTCAGCAAACTTTTCAGTTGCCGCTTTTGAAGCACCCTTTTCTACAAAAATCAATATCCGTTCAATTTTGTACCTGATCACATCTCTTAGGCAGACATTTTTAGCCCGTTTCATCACCGATTGAAGACCTTCCAACGTATCACTCCATTGGGACCATAACAAGAGCTTGGCACATGCATGGCACATTTCAAACCCCATGAATATCCTAGTTTGATCACTGCACTCTTTGGTTTTCAATATATCACACAATCGAACCGTATAATCTGATAGTCCGTTTTTGCGGAAAAAACGAAATATTTGCATTAGGAGCTGGTGCTCGTACTCTGACGCAGACAATGGCTCCCATTTTTCCAAAGATTGACAAATATTGTCAAACACATTAATATCACACGTAGACTCTTTTAATAATTTGCCACAAGCTTCTACAAATGGGGTTGAAGATGGTAATGTGTCAAATAGTTGAATATCATTATGTAGACCTTTGCCAAACCTTTGATAAACATGCTGTACTTTCTGCTCGAGTTTCGAATCGGTGAAGCTAACCAGTCGCATAATGGAATTACAGATTACAGACGCTAATGCTTTATCCTTCTTTTCAAAGTGAGAAAGTATTTCATGTAGCAAGAGCGTTTTGAATTCTTCATCAACACTATTCAAACATACCAGGAAACGAGGGTTCATCAAAATTATTTTGCAAATTTGAGTAACTCCTAGCTTATATGTGCAGTTTGTTGCACAACATTGTAGGAACAAGGTAAAAATTTTTTCATTGATTTCATTCAACATTCTCATTTTGGAAAGAAGGGCATTAAAATTTAACGGCGATGGGTCCTGATTGAAAATACGTGCTTCATATTCAATAGCCGACTCTAGTACACATATATCATGCATTTTCTTACCAAGACTTAGTAACAAGTTTGAAATATTTCTCATTCTTTTTGGTTGTCGAAAAGTTACAAATATGTGAAATATTCTGTGAAGATTTGGCACCGAGCTTGGTCCTAGTGTATTTTTGAAATAGATTGTTAACAGATCTAGTAGTTTTATTTGGAAGCGAGACAACGGCGTCTTGGTATCCAATTTCTCTAGCATAAAAAGTATTTGAGAAGCAGAGCCCTCATTTAATGCAAAACTTTGTAATCGATCTATAAATGCCGCGTCGTTGAGGACGTACGGATCCTTCTCGACAATAGCGATACAATTTGCAAGCGACATTGGCGTTGAAATTGAGTCCTTTGCCTTTGCAACAGATTGGTCCAATTTATTGCCTTGCAGCATTAATTTCTCGCGTAGTATTGAAATTCCAGGTAAGAACTGAGAATCCTGAATGAATTCTTCCATCCCTGTTTGAACTGTAAGCAGTCCAAGTTTGGAGTATTCCTCGGTGAATTCAATAAGTTTAAGCTGTAGACAAGTACCAATGAAATCTAGATCTTTGCCGCTTAACATGCCTGATAACTTCACAAATGCTGCAATCAATTTTTTGCAGTTTTTTTTATATTTTAATTGATTGGCAGGAACTTTTGCCATCCATTGGCGCATATTGCTCGTGGTTAAAAACACCCTGGGGAGCATTGCAAATATACTCAATTGTTCAGCGGTAAGGTCTCTTTTTTTCGTTTTCGATAGGCTCTGGGCGGTCCATTGTAGGATAAAAAAATGAAGAGTAACAACTAGGTGCGATACATCCTCTTTGCAGTCAACGCAGGGTACTCCTTTCACCAAGACAAACAAGTCAATTTCTTCCTCCTCAATTGAGAGTTCAAGTAACCTCGTTATTTGCAAAAAGGACACCTGTAATTGCTCATATACCGCGTCCAACTGTTTAGACTCGAAAAGCCGTACAATGTACAATTGGTGTTTCTTGAGCACGCTTAGCCAAGAACTTGGATTTTTTGAATAAATACAACACAAGAATTGAAACTTAATGTGAATTGATTGCACATTCTGCGAGTTTACCTCGATGAGCTGCTCATTGAGTGAACTAATACTCGATGTTTCTAACAATTTCAAGTTATACCTCGGTAGATTTAAGCCTTTTGCTGGGGATAACGGAGCCGTTTGCTGGGACCGTATATAAGACAATAAACATTCGTCCAACAGGTCCATTTCTTAAGCTGGCTGGACTCTCGCAGGAAATAGAAATGCAACACACACCACCCCCCTATCTTGTCTAAAACGGATTAAACAGATGAAGAATTACAAGAAAAGTTTACGAGCATCAAATTCAAAAACAAAGCAAAAATAATGAAAGCGCGCTACCATACGCAAATAAGAAAGAAAGGATGGGCCCGGGAACAGGTGAATGGTGAATGGTGAATGGGATGGAGTAAGAGATGGGCTTAGTGGGGCTGGTTAGTTTCCCCGACAAGACACAAGACACAAGACACAAGACACAAGACACTTTATTGTTGCAATTTTTTTCCACACTATATACAATTGAAAGGAGGGAAGATATACAATTGAAAGGAGGAAAAGTATACAATTGAAACGAGGAAAAGATATACAATTGAAACGAGGAAAAGATATACAATTGAAAGGAGGGAAAAGATGCCTCTGCTTTTCAAAATAGTCTTTCTCCTCTGTTTTCCGCAGCCAATTCCTCCTTGTTCAACCTTTCTCTTTCTTCCAATCTCTCCAAAGCCTTCCTCTTTGCAACAACCGTCTTAGCCTTTCTTTCACCGCCGTTTACCTTCTTGCCCAATTTGTGCTCTCTCAACGCTTCCAAGTCGTTGACAAATTTATATCTCCATCTCAATAAATACCTTCTGGTTCGTGTATCTATCCCTGCTTCTTTCATCTTCTTGCTTGGAGTTTCTAGAAACTTATTGAGATCTCCTTCAAATACATCTAAATGTTCAATACAATTACGCCCAATCAACTCTAAAAAAGTCTTTAAATCATTAACATTGGCTTTAGTTCGTGTCGATGTGTTGGGCTTGTAATTTTGAAACGATTGTGCAAAGTACCTACATGTCAGCGGAACATACAGGGTTATACTTGGTATACTCTGGTATCTACCTACTTGTAGAGTGCTCCTTATTAGCAGTCTGAACATCACTACACAACCTAACAATCAAAGCTGGCGCCTTATTAGCCCGCCCCATTTTTGATTTTTCACAAATTTTTCAAATCTTCCTTCTGTTTTTTTTTTTTTTTTTTTTCAATGGACGGTCGTGCAAATAACACACACAAGAGAAAGCTCAAAGTATACCAATATTCACTTTTATCTAAATTTCTCTATATCAAAAAAATGTTATAAGGCAAGGGCTTTCCTTGGGTTGACTCTCTTATAACAAACCTTTACTCTTGAATTCAGCTAATAAGGAGTTACCTAATCTTGCGGGCGATTTTTCAACTACAACATTTGCCGATTCTAATGCAGCAATTTTTGACTTGGCGTCACCTTTGCCTCCCGAAACGATGGCACCGGCATGTCCCATTCTTCTACCTGGAGGAGCAGAGACACCAGCAATGAACCCAACAACTGGCTTAGCACCTTCTGGTCTAGTCAAGTTGTGTTGTTTTAAAAATTCGGATGCTTCTTCCTCAGCACTACCACCGATTTCACCAATTAAAATGATACCTTCGGTTTCTGGATCGTTTAAAAATAAGGTTAAAGCATCAATAAAGTTGGTACCTGGGAATGGGTCTCCACCCATACCAATGACCAATGATTGCCCCAAACCAACTTTTGTAGTTTGAGCCACGGCTTCGTAGGTCAATGTACCTGATTTCGAAATAATACCCACTTTACCTCTCTTGTGGATACTCGATGGCATGATACCTATCTTACATTGTTCTGGGGAAATGATACCTGGACAATTGGGACCAACCAATCTCGTCTTGTCTTGTGTCTTCAAAATTTGCGCAATTCTAACCATATCCTTTTGTGGGATACCTTCGGTGATGGCCACGGCCAATGGGATCTCTGCAGCAATAGCTTCTTCGATTGCAGAAGCAGCCAAATGTGGTGGCACAAAAATACCTGTTGCAGTTGCTCCGGCATCTTTCATAGCTTCGGCAACAGTACCATAGACGGGTCTATCCAAATGAGTCGTACCGGCTTTCTTGGGATTGATACCACCAACAACATTGGTTCCATAGGCGATTGCCTGTTCAGCATGGAATGTGGCTTGCTTACCGGTGAAACCCTGGTAGATGACTTTAGTGTCCTTGTTTATTTTCAAATTGGAAATATTCGATGCATAGTTTCTTGCTGGAGATGACAAAGCAAACTTACGAGAAAACTGTTTTAACATTATGAAATCTGTGAATATGTAGTAAGGAGGGGAACGTAATACGACTAAATAAATTGAAGGTTCTACAATGACTTTCTAAAAGAAAAAGTTGACTTTTTCTATTCTTTTTTTTTTTTTTTCAATGAGAAGGAAAAATTAGAAACGTTGACGTAGAATGGGAGAAGCGCTTTAACCAATGCACTAATAAGTAGACTAAAGAGAAGTAACAGAAGTAGCAGAAGTAGCAGAAGTAGCAGAAGTAGCAAAAGTAGCAGAAATAGATCCTTTAAAGCGATAGAAATAGACAAAGAGGTAGAGTCAAGACAAAGAGGTAGAAAGTCGAGACAAAGAGGTAGAAAGTCAAGACAAAGAAATAGAGAGTCAAGACAAAGAGGTAGAGAGTCAAGACAAAGAAATAGAGAGTCAAGACAAATAGGTATATAGTAAATAAATCCAGATTTCGTCAAACATTTGGGGTTTTCATATATATAGTTTTTTGTATATGGAGTTTTATTTGAGTCCCCGGCATATCCTCGGGACCCTTTTTATGGTGGAATCTTTGAAAATTATGTTCCGGGATATTATTTTTCCACGGCGAAGAAAATTGCCGTATTTATTTCCGGTAGCGGTAATATCGAAGCGAATTACTTACCGATTTGTACAGCGGAAAGATACAACTTGGATCTGGAAAAAAGATATTGGTATTTATAAGAAAAGTGGTCTTATCAACGTGGGATTAAAGACAAGAGGTATTTTTGTTTCGTTTTCCATGGGTACTTTAACCTGACACTATCGAGCAGACACTATCGAGCAGAGCGAGATAGTGGAGCAACGCCGATTAGCTACACTCTTTAATCTATCTACACTCTCTCTATTTACTCTCTCTATCTACTCTCTGTATCTACTCTCTGTATCTACTCTCTGTATCTACTCTCTGTATCTACTCTCTCTATTTACTCTCTCTATCTACTCTCTCTATCTACTCTCTGTATCTACTCTCTCTATTTACTCTCTGTATCTACTCTCTGTATCTACTCTCTGTATCTACTCTCTGTATCTACTCTCTCTATTTACTCTCTCTATCTACTCTCTCTATCTACTCTCTGTATCTACTCTCTCTATTTACTCTCTGTATCTACTCTCTGTATCTACTCTCTGTATCTACTCTCTGTAGACTACCTCGCTCTGCTTGGTAGTCTATCTATCTCACGTGGTACCTCATGTGGTGCGTCTACATAGTGTTGTGGTAAAGCATCGATATCGTCTTTTGGTGGTGCATCTAAATGGAGTTGTGGTGGTAAATCTATATAATGTTCTAGTGGTGCATTTGTAGTTTGATGGTGCGCCTGCGATTTGATAGTGCGCCAGGGATCTGATGGTGCGACAGTGATTTGGTGGGCGCCTGCGATTCAACGCTCGCGCTATTTTTTCTTTCGCTGTAAAAGCATTGAAAAAAAAAAAAAAACTCCATTCATTTAAAGAAACAATACGTTAAAGGTACATTAACTAATGCTGGATCCAATAAATCCACCAACATCGCCTTATATGGAGTCTGATGCTCTAACTCCTCTACCGTCGTCTCAAATAGACCCTAATAATGATGGACCAGCAACAACTGAGGAACCTACACCGCAACCAACTCTGGAAGAACCAGAAACTAAGAAACCAAAACTAGCACCCAAACCAACAGCTACAACAGCTAGAGCAGCTTCGTCCTCAGCAGCTGGTACTGCCGGTGGCAGTACTGGTACCGGTACTGGTACTGGTACTGGCTCAGCCCCTAAAAAGCTGAGTGCCGAAGCATTGAGAAGGAGAAGAGAAAATCGACAGCGAGCAGCAGCAGCACTAGCCCAGAACTTGAAAAATTCAGGAGTAGGACGATTTGAACAAGAAAATGGGTTTGGGTTGACGGCCGTGCAGCCTATTCCCTTGATCAATCAGAAAAACTATTATACAGAGTATTTGAAAAAAGACGAACAAGTTGGCTTTATACGTAATTGGAGGCTTGAAAGAGATTTGCAAAATAAGTTGAGAAAGTTGAAGCAAAATGGAGAAATTGATAAGCTTGAGGAAGTGAAGAATTTTAACGATTTTGATTTAAATAATATTGAAAATGAGTTGAAGAAGAAAACAGAGGTTGATGACGAGGATGTGGAGGAGGAGGAAGAAGAAGAAACCGAAGAATTACGGCAGGAAAAGGCCAAGATTGGTGAAGATGTCATTGTTTTGCAGCCAGGGTCAGCATACATACGATTGGGTAGAGCTACAGATGCTGTCCCCATAGTGATACCAAATGTGATAGCAGTGAGAAAAAGAACCAAGACAGAAAAAACGATATTACCTCACAGAGAAGTGGATGAGGATAGGATAGTGCTTAACAATGAGTTTGATGAACAAAGATCAATCGTGTCGAAGGACTTCCGCGCAAGAATGAGATACTATAAAAGGAGAATATTACCAAACTCAAGAGAAACGGTGGCAAACTATAATAGGAAGCAAGAGCCAGAGAAAATACCAGACCACAATGACCCCGATAGGAAGGAATGGATTAAACCAGATTCAAGAAAGTTTTACACAGGAGAAGATGCATTACAGTTAGTCTTGAATGATGAGTGGTGTTTGAGGTATCCAATGATAAATGGAAACTTCAATGAGTATTCAAAAGACTATGAATCTAGACAAGAAATTTTGGGCGATTTGACAAACATCATACAGAGTGCTTTAAAAGGTGTTGACGTGGCAAATATGAAAGTAATGCTTTTGATACCGGATTTGTATGATAAGACTTATGTTGAGGCATGGTGTGAGTTGTTATTAAAGTTTATCGGATTTGGCAAGATTGGGATAATACAGGAGGCAGTGGCCGCCACCTTTGGAGCAGGTGCTTCCACTACATGTATAGTTGATGTTGGAGCACAAACTACAAAAGTGAGTTGTGTAGATGAAGGTATGATCATTAGTGATTCTAGGATATTGTTGAATTATGGAGGCGACAATATAACTGAAACATTTATTAAATTAGCCTTGGAAAACTGGTTTCCATATCGTGATATCAACTTATCAAACTCATATGACTGGAAGCTTGCAATGTCGTTGAAGAAGAATTTTGCTACCTTCCAAGATGCCGATATTGCTATCCAGTTGTATAATTTCTACAAAAGAAATCCCTATCAATTAACTGAAAAATTTGAATTCAAGGTTTTTGATGAGGTGATGTTGGCACCAATGGGGTTGTTTTTCCCAGATTTGTTTCAAGAGCCGCCACTGAGTCCTGCTTTTCATAGTCTGACGAAACCTACAAATATGACGATGAAACATTTGTTCCCCAAATCTTTAGATCAGTATAATAGCAAATCCAACAATCCTAGGAGTAAATCACAAGACAAGCTAAAGACCAATTTGAATTATTGTGATGTTGACGAAATGGGGTTACTTATGAGATTAGTTGACGACAGCGCTGAGGCGAATAACACACCACTTAAGATACCACTAGAGAAAGCGATTGTTGAGTCCATCACCAATGCTAGTTTGAGTGACCCAACCAAAATGAAAAAGTATTATGACAACATTTTGGTTGTTGGTGGAGGTCTTGCAAAAATTGATGGCTACGACCTAATCCTCGCTGATAGAATAAATATATGGAGACCAAAGTATTTGTCTACAACGGCATTTGGGTCCATTATCGAGTACCTCAACTCGGAGATAAAGAACAGCACTTTGAAGAAACAGCAGATGATTGAAGAAGCTAAAGGAGACGAGCAAGAATTAGCACAAGAGGTTTTTGATAAGATTGACGCCGAGTGTGAATTGCAATTAGATCTTGACCATGTGGATGAGCTCAACGAGGAAGGCTCTTTAATACCAATCAACATCTTGCCAACACCTAGAGAATTTGATCCATCAATGTTGACGTGGAAGGGCGGCAGCGTTTATAGCAGATTGAAGGTGGTTAATGAGATGTGGATCACTCAAAAGGATTGGGATTTGTTGGGCAGTAGAAGCTTGTACTATAAGAGTATATTTAATTATTAGTAGAAAAGGGGAAAGGTTTGGCTTATAAGTAAATGTGTTTCAAAAGCTAATAGCTTTTGTACAAGAGAGACTAAACGAGAGTGAAACGAGTCTAGTCAATAGAAAGGAGTGTAGACACAGGTAGACAGAAAAGAGAAGACAACTAAAAAAAAAGGAAAAAAAAATATCTACAGACAACACTAGAAGCTATAACTAAAAGAAGGACCGATATCTAGCTATCATTGCCAGAAAAATCCTCAATTTATCTATGAAAATCTACCCATTACTCCGTGTTTTTTTTTTTTTTTTTTAAATTATTAACTGAGTATTTCTCCTTGTCGCACATATCCATGCAAATAGTTAAGTAATCAGTTTAACCCAAAGGCCACTAGCGAATCCAAAGGCTTCGCCGACGCTAGTGGTTATATATCGCCTTTGGGGGGGGGGGGGGGGGGGGTGGGGGGTGGCTCCCTTTGGGTTGAGTCAATAAAATGCCGAAAATGGACTAAATTAAACTTTTTCTTTGTTTTTTTTTGTTCTATGCAGGATCTCAGAATCGAACCTCGATTACAATCCTTTGCACCACTAACTCGTAACTTACCCGCCCATCTACACCATTTTTCATTTCTTCTTTTACCCTTTGGGAATTTTTTCAAAGGTTTTCTGCTTTCTTTCGCTATCAAGGATGTCTGTGACTATTCTAGAGCCTTTAACAGCAGAAACATCCAAGACAATCGCTATAAAGATCAAGTTGAACAATGATTTAATAGAGAAACTTCGAAATAACCCTGCAAAACTTATAGTTCGAAATGGTAACTATGTATGTATATGGAAAAGTGACCCCCCCAAAGTATGTTTGTGGTTTTTTACTAACTTGCTTCTCTTATTTTTTTTTTTGGTTCAGTTTCTCAGAGTATTAGAGGAGTATCCGTGTAAGGACCTACCGGCGACTCTGAATGTGCATATTTATTCTGGATCACGGTACCATGGGCGAGTTTCCACACAGCTAACGGTGATCACAGATACTAAGCGAAGAAACCAGATCAAAAACATCCCTTCATCGACACCAACACCGAGAACACCGACATCCGTGTCCCCCATTGTAAGATCACCTCAAGTTATCGTTGCACCTTCATCTTCATCGTCTTTAACTTCTTCTTTCACAAGTGCGCGAGCCGTTTACTCACAGGCATATAATCCGTTTAAAGTTGCCCAAGAGGACTCGCAGGATGTGATAATCAAAAAGTTTCTTCATCTACTATCACTTGGGCCCATTTCGTATGCGAGTATAACCGAGTTGATGCATTATCATGACATTGACGACTTGTTACTGCAACACGCTGAAAAGTTTCACAATTTTTTAGACGAGTATCCCTATATGGAAGACAGTAGCGACACTTTTATTCTCAAGGACAAGACATATAAGCAGTTGATACCATTAAACTGGGGGTACAAAGATGACGAGAGGGAAATGGTCAAAAGCAATATCAATAATGCATTAACTAGATTGGGATACTCGAAAACCCATCCAGTAAGAAAGAAGATTTGCCAAAAGCCAGCAGAAGTAAGTAAGGAGTCAAGTCAACCAAGTCAACCAAGTCAACCGAGTCAACCAAGTCAACCAACTAAACCAAGTCAACCACCCATATCCAAGGCAAATGGGCGGGGAGATATCGTTAGCGACGAAAAATATTTCCAAAACTTGGCCGTTTTGTTTAAAGAAAAGTACCAGGAGTATTCTCAACTTTACACACAATTGAAAAACCATACCACCGATAAGGCTGACTTGATCAAATTAGTCGATTTACATAATTTGCTCCGCGAGTGGAAAACTAAGCTATGGGATTACGATAGAAGAATGAAGGAGGTAAAACGAAGAAAAATCGTGCAATACTAAACAAATCCCTCATCATTCATATTCCCCCGCCCTTACTTCAAGCTTTTATAGCCAAAATGCTCGTAATACATTTATGTAAACGACGTTACAGTCTATCAATTTCGTATCATTTTGTCATTTCAACAAAATAAGAATGTCACTGAAATTTCTCCATCAGTAATCAATTTTTTTTTTCTTTTTTTTCTTTCTTCTTTTCTTTTTTCTATAACAACGCCCTCCTATTTTCTTTTATCTTCTTGACGATATATCATTGATTAACGGCAAAGGAGGATGCTTAAATGGGTACAAGGTGGATTATCTGCTGTAGCAGGAACAACGGAACCTGAATATGGCCCTGAAGCAATTCATCCTATCACGAGACGCGTGAAAGAGGAGCAAGTATCACGAACATCTACTCGCGATGATTTCAAATGGCAATTGCTTTCTTATACAAATGTTGAGACGTTGACTATGTATTTCACAGATTTGTCACACAAGAACAAAGGGTTTGTACAAGTCATTTACTCATTGATTATGGGGGTTGTCAATACTGCACATTTGAACTTGCGTTGTAATGGTAAATGGTACTCTTTACCATTACAGGATTACGTTATCACCGGCAATGATGTTGTTGCAAAAAACTTCTCATTGACGTTGGCAGAGGATGGGAAATCGTACCATTTGAAAAGTGCTGTGGGTGCTACTATGATCGATATGACTTTTTCTCAAATTTCTCCTGGTGTCATATTTGGTGAAGATGGAACTACTTTATACGGAACAGACGTTGAGAATCCATGGGGTATTATGCGCCATTCTTTCTGGCCCCGTTGTTCAGTAGAAGGTGTTATAATCAACAATGATTTGGGCAAAGTTGAGCTTTCGAGTCAGAACACTTTAGGGATGGTTGTCATGGCTTTACAAGGTATGAAACCTCACCATGCTGCTGCGTCATGGAATTTCTTGAATTACCAAGGTGAGGAATTTTCTGCTGTAGTGATGGAGTTCACAACACCGAAATCGTACGCGAAAACTAGAGTCAATATAGGAATTATAGTAAAGGGTGACAAAATTGTATCTGCATCGATAGATAACGATGTTATACACGAGAGACCTAAAGATAATGATATTTGGCCTGTTCCTGAAAAGATTACTTTTAAATTCCCCGATGGACAGATTGTTGGCGAGTTGAAGAATTTAGTTGAAAGAGTTGACGTTATGGCTGAAATTCCTCAATTTGTGAAAAATCTAGTGTCCAATATTTCAGGTGCAAAGCCCTACATCTATCAGTACGCTGATGATTTTGAATTGGAGTTCAAGGGCGAGAAGGAGAAGGGTTTGGGATACTGTGAAGTCACCTTCATTAGTGAATGAGGTGGCCAGGAAGAGATAACAGTCTTTGTTGCGAATCTTTTCTTTTTCTTTTCTTTTCTTCTTTTTTTCTCATTGTTACAGTCCTAGGTGGGATAGAGAAAATTTTATGTTACCTTTGGTGATTTGGTACTGTCTTTTTAATGATAGGTTTTCTAATTAAGTTAATAATAATAATAATAATAATAATAATAATAATCATAATAATAATAATATACTATTAATAGTTAATGATAAAAATAGTCAATAATAGCATTGGTTATGAAATCTAAATGATTAAAGTTGGCGTCGGTGTTCAAAATTAACTACAGAGTGGTCACGTGCTTCAGATCACATAAACGTCGTTTCTTTTTTTTTTTTTTTTATTTATTTTTTATTAATTGTCGTTTATCAAGCTAATTATTGTCAGTACTTACCTCTATATCCTTTTCGTCAATAAAATTTAGTATACCATCCAATATAGCAACTGTTTCCCTCGGATTGGCTATCCATACAGTGCATGCGCTCAAACGAGCCTTGAAATCGTTTGCTCCTAAACTTGCAAATTGATCACCAACATGTAAGCTCTCTGACTTGCGAATGGGACACAAATCATGAGTTTCGTTTTGACACAAATATTTTTGTAGCGATTCTACCCCAAGAGCTTTATCTCCTATGTCTACCCAGACATCGCTTCCACCGTTGAAAGCACACACTTTAATATCACTTAGAGAACTGAGTGATTCGTCTAATTTACCATTTTTGTCTCGAGATCCATTAAGGATGACGTAGAGTTTTCTTGAACATGATAAAACCAATTCTTCGAGTTGTTCACGGAGAATACTACATCCAGGGTTAGGCATAATCCCAACAGATCTCTCCTTTTTGATAATTGTTGTTGTTTCTTCAAGTTGAAATTTTTGACGCAAATGGATAAGGTGATGGTGCACAGTGTGCACTATATAAGTTATCCGGTCTGTATCCCACTTACGCACTGCTGGAAGAAGCCATTCTTCACTATCTATGAATTTCAAACCTTTGAGCTGATTACTATAACGAAATAGATAGTTGGATTCTGCACCCATTACAAGTAAATTCTCCTTGTGACGGTCGGTGAGAATACAGTCCTCGCTATTCAAGTAGTCTATCAATCCTTTGAGTCGCTCATAATATTTAACTGCTCCGCTTTGACCAGGGTAACCTGCAGCTGTAACTACTCCCACATAAAGGCCTCTGTGCAACAAGCCAACCAATCTCTTCACAACATCGCATCCTTCAGTAAGTGACTCGCCATCATCGTATAATGTAACATCTCCATCAAAGGTAACCAATTTCAAGTGAGTGCGACTTGATTCTCTATTTTTACCAGTTAATGCCATTATTTGAGCCGTGTTCAAAATCATTCGAACATCATTGAATGAAGGACTAACCAAACGCCTCTTACTTATACCTCTCCGTTCATCTTCCAATAAGAAGGCTTCCTGAAGCGGCAATTTGGTGAAAAACTTGCCGATAGAGGGAACAAGATTTCTCAACCTACTTGAGATTTTCCGTTCAGGATTTTTATCGTTAATCTCGTCAATGAGTATAGTATGTTCAATCAAAGTTTCAACGTCTCGGAATATTTCCAAATAGCGACGTTTACAATCTCGAGCAGTGGCTTCTTCATGTTCTTTGAAAAACGTATCTAAATCGTCAGGAACATCATAGAGTTCGGGAAACTCCAAGTCGAAACTCTCAACATCAGCATGAAGTACAAATGGACACGCAAGAAGAGCTTTGATCCATTCTATGAACTCGTCTCTTCTATGACTTTTTAATGCATATTCTACTCTATATCTTGACGTCATGACAACGGCAGCTTGCACTTGTTACACTTTGCTTAACACTGCTCCGTATTTTTAATTAGTAGAAAGAGATTTTGTAGAAGCTCAAACAATAAAATACATCGAAATCTGCTTATATGAGGTAGCGCTCGGTCGGTTCCAAATTCTGAGGCCCGCGTGGGCCTCCTTTTTCCTCCTCTACCTCCCACGCGGGCCTCGAAAAGAGATAAAAAGCAAAGAGAGATTTTGATCATTGGCATTATAAGGTCATTATTATTGTGTTTTGTGTTTAATTGTGAAACTACTCTTAAGCTAACCCACTTTGGGCTCTCCTCCTGTCTCTTTCTTCAGTGATTGACAATTTAATACCTTTACCTTTTGGTAATGAAACCCAAGGTTTACCAGCTTCTTCACCAATGACGAAAACGTTGTTTAATCTGGTAACAAAAGTGTTTTCCAAAGTATCTTTAATGTGAACAAGATCAAAACCTCCTTCGTGTTTTTCTCTGTGAACAATTACACCAATTCTACCCATGTTTCTACCACCAGTAACCATGACTAATTTACCGGTATCAAATTTAAGGAAATCAGTGATTTTTCCAGTAGCCAAGTCAATCTTAACTGAGTCGTTAACCTTGATCAATGGGTCTGGGTATCTGATGGTTCTACCATCGTGTGTAACAACATATGGAATACCCTTTTTACCTAATTGGACCTTCTTGACTTTACCCAATTTGTAAGCAGCTTCTTCAGCAGAAATTCTGTGCACGGTGAATCTACCCTTGACATCGTAAATTAATCTGAATCTTTCATTAGTGGCTTCCAAAGTAATGACATCCATGAAACCAGCTGGGAATGTAGCATCGGTTCTTACTTTACCATCAACTTGAACATGTTGTTGCATCATGATGGCCTTGACTTCCCTACCGTTCAAGGCATACTTCAATCTGTTTCTTAAGAAAACAATCAATGGTAAGGACTCTCTCAATTTGTGAGGACCTGGAGACGATCTTGGAGCATAAGTACCGGACAATTTGTCCAACATCCAGTGGGATGGTGCTGCTAATCTCTTTAAATGCTTCTTTCTGTAAAAGGGAAAAGAAAAAAAAGCTGTTAGTATTGATGATAAGGGGGGGTGGTAAATAAATAAACACATGATTTAGTAGAAGTAAAGTAATAACACCAAAGGATTAAGTGCATCCAGAATTATAGACATCTAGTCATTGGTCAACCAAAAACAATGCCCGCACAAAGGTCTTGAATCAATAGTGAATTAACACCAATCTTCTATACCTTAGGGGATCTTCTGGTGCAATGTACAAGGCTCCCTTAATCCTAAATCGATTTTAATCTGTTTTCACAATGAAAAAGAAAAAAAAATCGACTGGCACTGCCATAAAAATAATAAAAAGAAAGAGACCAGCACTCTCTTCTTATTATTACCATGGGCTTACTTTTCAAGTGTTTCACTACCCGGAAAAACTTCTGTCTCAATAACAAAAAAAAGAGCAGGAAGGATTTCTAGGGTATTACTTCACTAAACTTGTTTTATATGCAACTAAAAGTTACAAAACATACGGGCCTCTTGCCATTTTTCCTATTACTTATTGATTAATGAATATAAAAGAAAAAGATATTGATTGAGAATGAAAAATTTTTTTCTGGCAGAGGGTGAATGAAAAATTTTTTTTTCACGTTTGAGAAGAGCACGCGCTACCAATTACGATTTATAGCTAGAGAAGGAGTATAGAAGATGTGAGATTGAGTATAGAGAAGATGTGAGATTGAGACTATAGACAAATGAGGCAGGTTTGCTTACATATGGCTTAAAATAAAAGGTTATATCTCTTTGTGTGTATGTAGGAAACTCTGGTCTGTCAGAGGGTTTGTAAAAGGTCCATGATACTAAGACATCTCTTCTTCTTCCCTCAAATCACCACCGCCTACAGCTCGAAGGGGCCCTCTCATTCTGACCCAAACTAATAAATCACTCTGGCGGTAGCTGCTCCACCATCGAGCAAAGCGAGATGGTGTCACTCAAACTAATAAATCACTTTACTGGTAGCTACGAAGTTCTGCTCAATAGTACTTTTTACTCTACTACGCTATTGAGCAGAGCGAGATCGTGTTTTTTACTCTACAACACTATCTCGCTTCGCTCGATGGTGTCACTCAAACTAATAAATCACTCTGGCGGTAGCCACGAAGTGTTGCTCCACCATCTCGCTTCGCTCGATAGTATCGCTCCGCTCGATAGCGTCACTTTTTTTATTTTATAACACTGTTTATTCAAATACTATATCAAACACTAGGCTAAACACTAGGCTAAACACTAGGGCGAAACTAATAAATGTAACTGAAAAAAAAAAAAAATAAAAAAAGGAAACCTCAATATATATGTGGAATGATGATAAAATTGTTAGTTTTTAATTTGTGAAATTGTTAGTTGTTGTGTGTAAAAATCTAACTCAAAGGTCTACATATTTGGCCACCTCAGCACCAGTCATTACTTTAATCCAATCGATTTTCAAGGAATAAGGCCCATACTGTTTATCCAATAACCCAATTCCTATTGTTTTAATCTCCAGTTTATTCAATTCGGAGCCATCCTGAATTACCCCCCAGTTGGTCATGACAAAATCCGATAATGGTATAACAACAGTTTCCCATTGTCCCGGGTGATTCAAAAATAACCGATGCTGGAATAAATCTGTAACCAATGGCGTATTAGCTTGGATATTGACTAGATATTTCCGACGATCTCCTTTAACTCTCAACACCAATGCCGAAAATTCCGTCCAGTCCCAATACTTATCTCCCGAGATCCAGCTCTGCGATTGATCTCTTGTTCTGAACATTGCATAACCAGATCTTGTTACTTGAGGATTATCCTTGGGTAAATCTAATGATAACTCTCCATGAAAATGACCACAACGTTCTTTGGGATCTATATCGAAATTGACAGTAGAATAGCCACCAATCTCCTTATCTGATCGTGTCAATATATTCGTTAGCAATTGCTGTGGATTATCCTTTCTGAAATTGAGTATAGTTTGTCTTGGTTGCGTGAGGGCTCCTTGCTTGGCAAAGATACCTTTAAATATATTATTTGATCCTAAAGTTCTAAGCGACATCTAAACCTAAGGGAAAAGGGGGTGGCGGGGATGCAAATAAGTTGAAATCAATGATAAGTTAATAAGGATAATGTAAATTCGAGTTTTATAAATCAACAGGCGAAAAAAAAAAAGTTAAGGATGAAGGAGTTGGTAGTGCGCTAGATAAATAGTTGAATAGATATTGAATAGATATTGAATAGATATTGAGTAGATATTGAGTAGATATTGAGAAGATATTGAATAGAATCTTGTTTAGCAAACACTTGTTGAAGTTGTAAGTAGTTGAAGTAGCTTATGTATAATGGTAGTACTGAGCTAGCTGTAATCTTCTTATGACAACAACAGTATTTAAGCAATTTACCAAATAAAGATAGAAATAAAAGTTGAAAATTGTTGAAGAAAAAACAATAGTAAAGAGATTGAGAGGCTAGACAGGGAGGTAGATTACCTTTTATACCAATTCCCTTCCCCACCAGCACCATCATTCCCCTCCTTTTTTTTTCACCCAAAAAAATTCATTGATAAGCTTAATAGTTTAAAGACTTTGCTATTAACCACAGAGGTTTAACAACTATACCTGAGTAAAAATAATAATTTCTACATAAATGGCATACATAAATGGCATACACTCAAATTTTGACTTTTAGAGTTAGACTTGATTTCAATCTGGTAGATAAGAAAACAGGAGTAAAAAAAAAAAAAAAATTAATTTTGCTTTTCTTTACAATGAAAAGTATGGGTGCAAAGAGGGATTTAAAGAGGAGAAGCATACAAGGATAGGGGTACATAAATAGATAGTAAGATTAGCATAGATCAAGTAAAGCTTTGTAGAATTGATGGTGGTTATGTAGATCAATGATTTTGAGTCCATTAGATAAGGAGATGTAAGTCACATTTACCTGAAAAATCAATTGCGAAAAAAAGTGGGGGTGTAGAATAAACGGTGTTGGGATTGGTGGTGGTGGTGGTGGTGGTGGAGGTGGTGGCAAAAACTACAATTTGAAACTAAAACAACAAGTTTGCAATCTAATTTTTTGAGAAACTACTATTAGTAGTAAGGGAGATCAGATGTACTTACGTAAGCTAAACTCCACCTACTTATCAGAACCTACTAAACTATCAAGTTCTACTTATCAAGCTTACTTATCTATTCACCAAAACAATTTGGTTATCAGGTTCTACTTGTCAAGCTTTTTCTACTCATTGCTTATATTGTAGGTCTTTTTGGGAGGGGGAGCTTGGTGGAAGTGAGGATGTAATGAGAAGAACGCTCTTTGTCACATAACTGTTGGTTTGCTTTGTTCTAAAGCGGGTGAAAAAAAACAACAAAAAAAACAAAAAAAACTCCGAACTTGCCAAGTCATTATGGTATCTGATTACTAGTATGCATGATAAGAGCTGGATCACGTGTTTCGATATAAAGAGTAATCGGCGGGGAGATAGGGGGCGAGCGAGCGAGCGAGGGGCAATGAGGGGTGTGCGTAAACAATGGCATTTACTTTAGCCGGCAATTTATTTTATAGTTTATCTCTCAGCCTTCTTTCATTTTCTTTCAACTTCTTTTATTATCCCCTCATTTCATCGTGGTAGTATTGGGATCAGGTAACAAGCAAAATTGGTAAAGAGTCTCTGGGGTATACAAAAGTGAGGAGAAAGTAGTTCCAAGGTAAGTGAAATGAGGAGAAAGTAGTTCCAAGGTAAGCGAAATGAGGAGAAGCAGAACTATAGTAACCAGCAAACCCCTTTGAGAAGAAGAAGAAGATGTCACTACAATGATGGCCAAAGCAAATTCTCTTTAGTCTAGTAAACCTTTGTATAGTTTGCAAATCTTTGCTACTAGAAACACTCTGTTTGCGTAGCACTACTTCAAACACTGAAAACACCTTACAAAAACAACAAATGAAAGTACTTGAGTCAAGATCTAAGGAATGAACATTCACTCCAACTTTTTTTTCTTTTTAGGTACCGCTCAAAAAACTGTTACGTCATCACCAGATGATTGTTTATTCAAAGGGTGGAAAGGTTGAAAAGAACGGTGTTTTGGCGATGTTCTATCGGTGTTTTAGCGGTGTTTATTTTTGTAAGGAAATGAAAAAATTTCAGTCGGTGTTTTAAGACATCTTGAAATGTGGGGAGAAAAGATTAAGCAATAAGCTTAAAACTTAAAGAAACAAATAAAAAAGAGGAAAAGTCAAAGGTTATTTGTTTGATAGAACCTTACAAACCCACTGATGATATCTATTTATGGAAATTACAAGGAATAAAAGAGGAGACGAGAAAACGGACAAATGCATTAACAGACAGTAAGACAGACGGAGTTTGTTGTCTAGATTCGGTATGCAGCAGCAAAGTACATTCAGGTGTGTCAACTTGCATAAAGATTATTACTTTTCACAAGGTACATTCTTGAACATATCATAAACAAGCTTTGGAACATCAATCAAACCACACTATGGGTCTGATTTGTATTGCTTATCTCTAAGAAGCCAGTTTACGAGGCGTTTTCCATTCTCCTTGGCTCACGTCAAGAGAGTAAGTTGTAAAATGCATTGTCTCCAAGAGAGTAAGTTGTAAAATGCATTGTTTCCAAGAGAGTAAGTTGTAAAATGCATTGTTTCCAAGAGAGTAAGTTGTAATATGCATTGTCTCCAAGAGAGTAAGTTGTAATGCATACATTCCTGTCTCTTTGGCGTATCCCCAAGAGTATCAATCGTATTGAGATTTAGTAATGAAATCATCCTTTTATCAAGAACCTCCACATATATTTACGTACATTTAGATGTTTATTGTTATGGGGCTGTTAACCCTCTGATTACAATGGACACACACTCATAAGTGTGACTTGTCTTGTATTTTTCAACTCAATCAAAATCTTTATACCTAATTAGGAAATTAAATGGATTGAGACTTTCAATTTTTTGACTTGTAACTTTCTCAGCAGAGGCTTGACTCTCCTTAAAGTGTAAGATCATATATTACTGGGATGGGGGGGAAGGAGGGGGGTCTATAAAGATGTAAGAGACTATACAACCATCTTTTTTGAGAACGTCATTCATGAATAGGTTTCAATAGTTTTGAGGAACTAATGAAGGATTGACATTCATATATCAAAGCCACAAACCCGTATTATTATCTTGATGCAAGCGTTAACGGGGCGAGGTTTTTTCAAAAATCGGTGCCACATAACCATATTGCGAGGCTTTTCTCACTAGATATAGAGATCTTACTACAAACTTTATGTTCCTTTTTGGGTGGTTAAAAATGCATATGAATTTGCAATTGAAATGCAGAACACTGGAGATATAAAAATAAAAACGCTTCAAGGTAATTGGCCCACTTTGCAATATAAAAGGTCTTTCTAGTCGTTTTTACTCCTTTTTTTACTGGTTTTACTGGTTTTACTGGTTTTGATATCTGTCATTTTTTTTTCTTTCCCATTTCATTTATTTTTTAACTTAGAATAGTAATGCCTGATAGATCCAAATTCTACGATCCTACAAATGCACCCTATTACAACCCGTCAGTTGAGAGACGGGTAGTACTCATTACAGGAGGTAATACGGGTATTGGCTGGTATACCGTTTTGCACTTGTATTTACATGGCTATGTCATATATATGGCTGGTAGAACCAAGCTGAAGGTATTGAAAGCATTTGAAGACATTAAAAAGGAAGCAGCGACAAGGATTCTTAGCGAAAAAGCCGAAGAAAAGTACCATGTCGGGGAATTACACTATATTTATATTGATTTGTTGGACCTTTCGAGTGTAACGAAAGCAGCAGACGAGTTTCAACAACAAGAGCAAAGATTAGATATATTGATCAACAATGCAGGTGTAATGGGTGTTCCTTACCAGATCACCAAAGATGATTACGAATTACAGTATCAGGTCAATTTTGTTGCTCATTTCTTGTTTACTTGCAAGTTGATTCCATCATTATTGAAAGTTGCTCAAGATGGGCAATTACCTCGAATCGTTGTATTATCTTCAATAGGTCATAATTTTGAATTTAAGCATTATAAGCCAGAGCAACATAAGTTGAAGGGTTTCCCCGATTCTGTGTATACCTGGATTCGTTATGGGATTGCCAAGACCGCTGATATTCATTTTGTTAAGGAGTTGAGTAAAAAATATCCCGAGATTTTATCTCTTGCTGTTCATCCTGGAATAGTTTTGGGCACTGAGTTGTATAACCATTGGAGACAAATTCCCGTGGTAAAGTATGGTTCAAACGCATTATTTGGAATAAGTAACAAGCTCATTGGTGTGACTAATGAAGAAGGATGCTTATCTACGTTGAGAGCCGCTCTTGATCCCAAGTTGACATTAGAGAATAATGGTATCTACATTGCTACTGGAGGCGTTGTTGAGAAACCCAGTAGAATTGCTTCTAATGAAAAGTATTGTAAGGAGACTTGGGATTGGAATGTTGAAGAGTTGAACAAACGCGGGTTCAATGTGGAAGATGACCGTTGAAGAAGAAGGGCGGCACTAGGGAGCAATACATAGTAGCAACTATTGAAGAAGGACTATTGAAGGACTATTGAAGGACTATTGAAGGACTATTGAAGGACTATTGAAGGACTATTGAAGGACTATTGAAGGACTATTGAAGGACTATTGTGAATATAAATCAAATAATATGTAAGTAAAGAAAAAAAAATATATGGCGCTTCTATTTAAGGCCCGTTCATAACTCTAGAGACTTTTTCTTTAAAATTGTCGTTACACTTTGCTTGACTAGAAATAGGAGATTACACTCCTATTTCTAATCTCCTGCAAAATGTAAAGCACTCTGTTTGCTACTCATCTAGTCTCAGTTTAATCACACTCAGTTAACCCGCTTTCTCTTTGTAGTCTTATCTACGGCTCTAAGTTATCTGCTTATCGGTATTTGTTCCAAACTACACTACCTTATCTCCTTTCATTGAGTCAATTTACCATGACTACTTTTTTTATCTTGCCTAGTGTAACAAACAAGATATAAGAGAAGGGGATTACATCAGTAAAGGGACTATCACTTCAAGACTTCTTGTAGAGAAAAAGCAAAGTTCTTGAGAGAAAAGGCAAGAGGCAAAACTTTTTGTAAGTTACTATTAAGTCAAATTTAGAGCTATCTACTCAATCATGATGGGGTTTTTTTCGGTACTAAAGTATGTAGTAATCAAGGGCAGGAGCTTGAAAGAAAGAGATTGAAGGGCTGAGCTCAGCCCATGTCCAAGGACAGACCTCAACTCTTGTCTGTTATATTGCTAGAAGACCTTGCTATGAAGCCTTATCGATACTAACCGAGCTTTTCTTGTTTATTTTTTTTTTTCTTCTAGTTTGTTGGTGTCCATTGTATATCCGATAATCGCATCATGCAGATCATTCGAAGACTATACCCTTATCAGCAATAGGGTCGCATCACAAAATTTCAAAATTGGCGGCATTACCGTGCCATTGAACTTAATCTACAATCCCGGTGGTCTCAATTCAGTTGACGCGAATGATGAAAAAGTACTACAGTTACATTTGATATCTATTCAAAAATGGTTTATTTATTGGATTGTACTAGCTTGTTTTGAATTGGTGGAGAGCTTATTCTCAGTACTAGTCTATTTGATACCGGCGTACTCGGTTTTGAGATTGGGATTCAATTGTTGGTTGGTTATGCCTATGATTTCATTCGGGCAAAGAGACAGTGTTGGTGAAAATGCTGCAACGTTTGATAACTCAGTCGAATGGAAGAAATTCACTAGTAATGGAGCAGGATTGGTGTTCTTTTCGTACATCAAGCCATGGATGGAAAAGAATATCAAGATTGTAAACAGTTTATCTGCCGACCCATCAATTGTTTTACTGGTTTTCAACTTGACTTCTCTGTTGAACTTGAGTAACCTTTTGAAAAAAGTTAGAATAGGTAGGAATACAGAGCAGAACGTGAGTGATGTGACGGGAAGTGTTGCTGATTATGCTAGTGCTTTGGATAGTTCATTTGTTATGGTTATGAATATCAAAAACAAATTTACTGGAAGTGGAGACAATGCAGAGACTGAAGCGAAAGGGGAATCAGCAGACGAAGAGTTTGATGTTATCAATTCCGAAAAACCTTCAGCTCCAGAAGCAAATGTTAGCAAGAGAACAGGGTACTTTTGGTAAACAAGCTGGCACAATATGAGAAACAATTTTTACCCTATTTTTTTTTTTTTTTCTTTTACCTTTTTACTTTTACTTTTTTTTTTTGAAGATGGTTATGATTTTTTGTTATTTTTATGTTTTGGATGTGTTTGCAGGATACGTCTTGGAAGGGTTGTTTTGGAAGGGTTATCTTTAATTTCAGTTCTAAAGACAGGTGTATTGTTTTTTTTTTCTCTTTCTTTTAATGATGATGGAATATATCCAGTTTGTTTTGTTTTGTTTTGTTTCTTATTTATTTATTTATTTACAAATGTATGTATACTTTGTTGATCAATGTTCTCTTCTCTCTTCTCTCTTACAATTTCAAGAAATTTGATACTTGTGATCTAGTCTCTGGTGAATTGATCTTTTTTTCCAAAATTTTCATCGATTTCTTACTATTCTTCAAAAACTGCCTGGGTATGAATTTGTTGATTTGATGTTTTTCCTTGTACATTCCACCGTATGCTTCTAGTGGCTTCTTTTTATCGGATCCCGAAGCTACGTTTCTTCTAGCAATTTCCTCTGTATTATCCATTTGATTGTTCAATTCATCGACTTTAGCTTGAGGTACTTCTGGCCATATAAATGGTTCAGGCATATCCACGGTCATTTTCTTCAATTGTGGCTGTCTGTGTCTCCCCAAATCATCAGGGTTTCTCACCCATCTTGCTGGTTGCAATTGCACAGTTATATTCAAAGCTCTCAAGCCATATATATTCCACAAATAATCTCTTAAATCGATTTTGTTCATTTTTTTGGGCACCAAGAATTTGGCTTGATAGGGGGTATGTTTTGCATTTGGTCTTAGCAAGCAAATTCTTCCGCTGGGTAAGAATACCTCTTTTTTACCTAGAGTGAAATGAGGTTCATCCATAGCTAATTTTTCTTGAAAGTAATTAAATTGAGCAAGCGCTCTTTCCAGATCCATCTGGCTCATAAACCTATTAGGGATCCTCTTACCTTCCTCTATGTACAATTTAGCCAATTCCGAGTTGGGGAACAAGGTGCGTGTTTTTGCCTGTGCAAGAATCGGTGGCCGGATTTTCCTAAACCCATACCTAGGTTTGTTCAACTCAACATCTTTAACATTCACTTTAGGATACCTCGACGGCGACGTCTTGTAATGCACTGACCTTACAGATATCCCGCTAGCTAAAGATTTTACAGATATCCTGTTACTTAAGGACATCATACACACCTCAAACCTACCTCTCGCTTTCATTCCAACTCCTTTCTCTTGTAACTTGTACTATACTATCATAGTAATTAAGATTGAAATTTTTTTTTTCACTTTTGGGAATTTTTCAGAGTCGTGCACTTTGTCCACCGTTTTTTTTTTTCTTCTTTGAATGAAAAAAAAAAATTCACTTGTATAATTAGACCGATATATACATCAAGTCATCTTTCAAGGTATAGGTTTCCCTTGTTGTGAGCTTCCAATTTTGCCATTTGTTGGTTTGCTAGATTGTGGTTAAGTAAGCTTTTGTTGAGGGGGGTGATTTGTTGTATTAATCATGTCACAAGATCCAGATGTTGCCGATCCATATATGTATGATGGCGAGTCACAAAATATTACTCCTGAAGATTGTTGGACCGTGATCTCATCATTTTTCCAAGAGAAAGGGTTAGTATCGCAGCAGTTGGATTCATTTGACGAGTTTATAGAGTCAACTATACAGGAGTTGGTTTGGGAGGACTCGCATTTGATCTTGGATCAGCCAGCACAGCATACCTCGGAGAATGACCACGACAATAGGAGGTACGAAATCACTTTTGGAAAAATTTATATCTCAAAACCGAGTCAGACTGAGGGTGATGGTACAACCCACCCTATGTTCCCACAAGAGGCAAGACTCCGTAACCTCACATACTCGTCTCCCTTGTATGTTGATATGACCAAAAAAGTATTTAAATCTGATGATAATGCGCGTGTCGATAATGAACTAGAGTGGATCGAAGTGCCCATCCCCGGAGAAGAAGCCAAAACTCAAGCATTTCTTGGTAAAGTGCCTATAATGTTGAGATCAAAGTTTTGTATGTTGCGCGATTTGGGTGAACTAGAGTTTTACGAGTTGAAGGAGTGCCCTTACGATATGGGTGGTTACTTTGTTATCAATGGTTCAGAAAAGGTTTTGATAGCTCAAGAAAGAAGTGCTGCCAATATCGTTCAAGTGTTTAAAAAGGCAGCACCTTCACCAATATCTCACGTTGCCGAAATCAGATCGGCAATTGAAAAAGGGTCAAGGTTGATTTCATCAATGCAGATAAAATTATACGGGCGCGACGAAAAGGGAACTTCAGCAAGAACAATAAAAGCAACTTTGCCATATATTAAGGAAGATATACCAATTGTGATTGTTTTCAGAGCATTGGGTGTTGTTCCAGATGGAGATATTCTAGAACACATTTGTTACGACGCCAATGATTGGCAAATGTTGGAAATGTTGAAACCTTGTGTCGAGGAAGGTTTCGTGATACAAGAACGTGAAGTTGCACTCGATTTTATTGGAAGAAGAGGAGTTTTGGGTATAAGAAGGGAAAAACGTATACAATATGCCAAGGATATTTTGCAAAAGGAATTGTTGCCAAATATCACACAGGAGGAAGGTTTCGAGACAAGAAAAGCATTCTTTCTTGGTTATATGGTTAATAGATTACTACTTTGTGCATTAGAAAGAAAAGAACCAGACGATAGAGACCATTTTGGTAAGAAAAGGCTAGATTTGGCAGGACCTTTACTAGCCAATTTGTTTCGTATCTTATTTAAGAAATTAACAAAAGACATTTACAACTATATGCAAAGGTGTGTTGAGAATGACAAGGAGTTCAATCTTACTTTGGCCGTTAAGTCACAAACTATAACTGACGGATTAAGATATTCGCTTGCCACTGGTAATTGGGGTGAGCAAAAGAAAGCAATGAGTTCGAGAGCTGGTGTTTCACAAGTTTTGAACCGTTACACATATTCATCAACCTTGTCGCATTTAAGAAGAACAAATACGCCTATTGGAAGAGACGGAAAAATTGCAAAGCCAAGACAGTTGCACAATACCCATTGGGGCTTAGTATGCCCCGCAGAGACACCAGAAGGTCAAGCGTGTGGTTTAGTCAAGAACTTATCCTTGATGACATGTATTTCTGTGGGTACTCCTTCGGAGCCAATATTGTCATTTTTGCGTGATTGGGGGTTGGAACCTTTAGAAGATTACGTTCCTTCCAACTCGCCAGACGCTACTAGAGTCTTTGTTAATGGTGTTTGGGTTGGTGTACACAGAGAACCACATTCGTTAGTAGGAACTATGCGTGAGTTTAGAAGAAATGGAGACATTTCTCCCGAGGTTTCCATTATTAGAGATATCAGAGAAAAGGAGTTCAAGATATTCACCGATGCTGGAAGAGTCTATCGTCCATTATTTATTGTTGACGATAATCCAGAGTCCGAGACTAAAGGTGATTTGAAACTTCGAAAAGAACATGTTAATAAGTTGTTGGAATCCACTTATGATGGATTTGACGAGGACGAGACGCCTAGTTATACATGGTCTTCTCTAGTGAAGGAAGGTATAGTTGAGTATGTTGATGCCGAAGAAGAAGAAACGATCATGATAGCAATGACACCAGATGACTTGGAAGCGTCAAAGAGTACACTAACAGAAACACAAATACAAGATTTACAATTGGAAGAACAAGATTTAGATCCGGCCAAAAGAATCAAGCCTACAAACAGCAGCAACACCCATACATTTACTCATTGTGAAATCCATCCTTCTATGATTTTGGGTGTTGCAGCGTCAATCATCCCCTTCCCTGATCATAACCAATCGCCACGTAATACGTATCAATCTGCGATGGGTAAGCAAGCCATGGGTGTATTTTTGACAAATTACTCGGTGAGAATGGATACAATGGCAAATATCTTGTACTATCCGCAAAAACCACTTGCCACCACCAGAGCTATGGAGCACTTGAAATTCCGTGAATTACCGGCAGGTCAAAATGCCATTGTTGCCATTGCATGTTACTCCGGTTACAACCAGGAGGATTCCATGATCATGAACCAATCTTCCATTGATAGAGGTTTATTTAGGTCATTGTTCTTTAGATCATATATGGATTTGGAAAAACGACAAGGAATGAAGGCATTAGAGACTTTTGAAAAACCGTCTAGGTCGGATACTTTACGGTTGAAGCATGGTACTTATGAAAAATTGGATGACGATGGATTGATTGCTCCCGGTGTTAGAGTGAGCGGAGAGGATATCATTATTGGTAAAACAACACCAATACCACCAGACACAGAAGAGTTGGGTCAAAGAACACAATACCATACCAAGAGAGATGCATCTACGCCCTTGAGAAGCACGGAATCCGGTATTGTTGATCAAGTCTTGTTAACCACAAATGGGGACGGTGCCAAATTCGTCAAGGTTAGAATGAGAACAACCAAGGTACCTCAAATTGGTGATAAGTTTGCTTCTAGACATGGTCAAAAGGGTACTATTGGTGTTACTTATAGACATGAAGATATGCCGTTCACAGCTGAAGGTGTTGTTCCTGATTTGATTATCAACCCACACGCTATCCCATCACGTATGACGGTTGCACATTTGATTGAGTGTTTATTATCCAAAGTTTCGTCGTTATCAGGGCTTGAGGGTGATGCATCGCCATTTACAGATGTTACAGCAGAAGCTATATCTAAATTATTAAGGGAACACGGTTACCAGTCTCGTGGTTTTGAGGTGATGTACAATGGACACACAGGTAAGAAGTTGATGGCGCAGGTGTTTTTTGGACCAACCTATTATCAAAGATTGAGACATATGGTGGATGACAAGATTCACGCCAGAGCAAGAGGACCTGTGCAAGTATTGACTAGACAGCCTGTTGAAGGTAGATCAAGAGATGGTGGATTACGTTTCGGGGAGATGGAGAGAGATTGTATGATTGCACATGGTGCTGCAGGGTTCCTTAAGGAGAGATTGATGGAAGCATCAGATGCCTTTAGAGTTCACATTTGTGGTGTTTGTGGCTTAATGTCGGTAATTGCGAATTTGAAAAAGAATCAATTTGAGTGCCGTTCATGTAAAAACAAAACCAATATTTATCAAATCCATATTCCTTATGCGGCAAAATTATTATTCCAGGAATTGATGGCTATGAATATTACACCGAGGTTGTATACTGAAAGTTCCGGGGTAAGTACTCGTTCTTGATCTTGGTGGTATATTGGGAAAAACGGTTAATTGATTCTAATTAAAAAAAAAAAACAAAAGAAAACAAAAGGAAAAGACGCAAAAAGATAAAATATAAAATTAAGTATAAAAATGTAATATATTATTTTGTTGGACAGTCTCTATTTTCATCCTTCCTTCCTTCTACATATTAGAGAGATGCAATTTTATAGAGTGCTTTTGTTCCATGGGCACTATTTACAAACACGGTTTTTCAACTCTAATGCATTAAATACTTTTCTCGAAGTTCAGCTCTTCTCTTCTCTTCGGCATTCAATTTAGCAAGTTTTTCTTTCATATCCTTGACTTCGTCTGCAAATGCTATTAGATTGTCCTTATAAGGGTGTTCGTCACCATCAAATAGCTTGAGCCTATCCATTCTAACCAATCTGTGTTTGTTCTTGGGTATCATACCTTTCACTGCTCTTCTCAAAATTTCTCCATACCCTTTATTGGCAATCATCCGCTCCATCGGTATCAAATTAAGAGTACCGGGACGTGTAGTATGCAGCCAGTATGTCTTATCCTTCATTTTATCACCTGTTACTTTCAAATGCGCACAGTTGGTAACAACAACGTAATCACCATGATCTCTATTTGGTGAATATGTTGGCTTATGCTTCCCCTGTAGAGTAAGAGCAATCTGCGTTGCTAGCCTACCCAACGTTCTTGAATCTGCAGCAACATCCACATGATGCCATACCCTTGTCAAAGCCAGGACAGACGTACCAATCCTTTGCGACATGTTCTACTCCTTAATAACAACTACTCCCACAACCTCTTTATATATATTTATATATATATATATTGAAATGAAAATTTTAATAACCTCACTGAAAAAGAAAAAGTCGTGGGGCGCTGGAAATTTTCTTACTGTGCGATTTAGAAACTTTTCATCTTCAGAAAAGAAAACGAGGAAACATTGTTTACCCAGCAAAGAAAGTTGACCAAGGGCCTTTATTGGTGGGATATTGTAAAGGATCTAGCGGGTATTACTCATTATTTACTCCTTGGGGGGAGACCTCAAATTTTTGTATTATATTTTATTTTACTGCTTCGTCAACCACTGCTGCATTCTTTTTGGTTTCTCAGCTCGTTTTATTTTATTGGATACAATATGTTTTTCTTGAAAGATCTATCGTTGAACCTAACGTTACATCCGTCGTATTTCGGCCCACAGATGGATCAATATTTGAGAGATAAGTTGCTAAGCGACGTTGAAGGTACGTGTACAGGTCAATTCGGCTACATTGTGTGTGTGCTTGACTCAATGAATATCGATGTAGGCAAGGGACGAATAATCCCCACATCGGGAATGGCAGAGTTTGAAGTCAAGTATCGTGCTGTCGTTTGGAAACCATTCAAAGGCGAGGTTGTTGATGGTGTTGTCACCACTGTTAATAAAATGGGCTTTTTTGCTGATGTGGGTCCGTTGTCTGTGTTTGTTAGCACACATCTAATACCCTCCGATATGAAATTCAACCCATCAGCCAACCCGCCCGCATATTCAAGTCCCGACGAAAATATAGAAAAGGGGTCAAAAGTAAGATTGAAGATTGTGGGAACAAGGACAGACGTTAATGAGATTTACGCCATAGGCAGTATCAAGGAAGATTATTTAGGCCCAAGTCCAATGTAGATGGGGTTTTTGTTGAAAGTTCTCTTTTTTTTTATTTGTTTTTTTTTTTTTTTTTTTTGCAAAAAGTCCTAGTCCTAGTCCAAGTCCACTTTTTTATGCATATTCATAGAACTTCAGGCCAATGTATATAGTATTTAATAGACGCTATAGATAGCAAAGCATGAGGGAGACAAAAGAGCTAGTGATGTACCAAAGAAGATAGCAAACTTTTTTCTAGACGGTATAATACTCACAAAAGAAAAAAAAAAGGTAAATAGCCTTGTTTGATATTAATATACTTTATTTTTTTTTTCAATCTTTGTTAATCTATTATGATAGGGTCCTTCAGTGTCCCCAGCAAGCTATCAGCACTACGTAGCAATTGCTTACGAGCATTTTCGGCATCTTCCATTTCACTAATCCATTCAGCTTCTAAATTCAATCCTTGAGCTTTTACTTGTGGAAGGTCCTTCGAAAAAGGGTAATCATCTACTTGTTTTGGTTTTTCTGAACCGAGATTCTGCGAGCCACCATAAACTTTTGGTTTCTTGTTGGGTGGTGTCTCATGGGCATTTACAAATGTTGTTGTTGTATTGGGCCTTTCACGCTGACGACGAGAAGCAGGTTTCTTTATTCTCTTGAAAAATGGTACATCGCCGTAGAATAACGAATCTGGAGAATTAAATAGGTTATACAATTGTTCGTCTGTGAGTTGGGCTGGTTGGGGTAATTGAGGTGCTTTCGAATCAGACTTATCAACTTCTTGGGTTAAAGTCTGCTCTCTCGATTTGTTGTCTGTAACACTAGATCTAGTAGACAAAATGTCATTGCTGTAGTCTAATGCAACATTTCTATTTTGATCATCATTTGGTGCTGTAGATGTAGAAAGTCTATTCGCGTTAGGTTGACCATTATTATCTTGGTAGCCTGCAGTTTGGTTTATTCGTGTTTGCTCTTTTTCCTGACTTGTTTCTATCACTTCATTGCCAGACTCTTTTGGTATTAATGCAGCTACATCCAGTACAATAATTTTAGCTTTTACGGCAGGTCTGCGACTCTTTCTATTTGTGATGAAGAGACCAGAGTACCGCTCGTTAAGTCGACGATTTTTGTTTAAAAAAGACTCTTGCAATTCCTGTTCTTGCACGGGATTATAGTTTGAAATATTGTTATTTTGCTTTGGCATCAACTCTCCCGCATTGGCTACCCTAACAGAGCCATCAATCCCCCTGGATTCACTTTGCATCTCAAGTGATAAAGTTCTGGTGTTTGATTGGTTAGATTCGGTCACATCACTGTATTGTTGTTGTTTGTCCGGTCCACTTGGTTCATCATCGTTACTCATAGGAAACGATGATATACTGCTGCAAACATTAGCATCACCTCTAGTTGTCACTCTATCATTGCACACTAACACGCTTGGCCGTGATGAAAAGTTATTCAGTGTTGTTTGATCAAAAGATGATGGGTAACCTCTTTGGTTCGTCACCTTTGAATTTGACGGAAGCTCTTGCGAGCGTGATACATCAGGGAGAGAAGTGTGACGCAAAACTGAATCACATTGTCGTTCAACTGCTCTGTTTTCTGAGCTAGTGGGTACAGCAGTGGTTATTACTTCTTTAGGAACATGGGTTTCCGTGAGAGCCGAGAAAACCATATCCATGTCTTGGGGCACGGGTCGTTGCACGCTTTCTTGTGATTGAGGAGCTGGTACTATAGGAGGCAAATCTGACAGTTCTTGAGCCACGTTTGAAATAGCACGAGGCAAGTGAGGCCAGCCAGAGCCAAGAATAGACTCTGTAAAAGGTGGCTGGCTTTGTTGCTGTGATCCATTGTTCGAATGTGATTGATGTGTCTGGTCCATCTGTGAATGTCGTATTTTGTTACTTTGTATTTGATGGCCAATCTGTGGTTGTTCTGTGACGTATTGATAGTGTTGGTTGAGCTGATGAGGTTGGTAAAGCATTGATCCAGTAGTCAGAGACCGATGATGCACAGACGGATATTGGACTGGAGAGATTTGTCGTCCGTTAGTGGCAAGTCCCTGAAATCTTTGTTCTGGTGTTCGCAACTGCTGTTGCTGTTGCTGTTGCTGTTGAGATTGCACAGGAAACAGCAGTAGCAGTGTTGATGACTGTATACTTTGTGCAGGTGTTTGAAGAAATACTAATGTAGATTGCGGATTTCGAAGTTGAAGTGAAATGCGCGAGTGAGGGCTTGATTGTGCCGGCTGCATAACGTTACTGTTACCCATTTCATTTCTACGGACGTTTGCCAGTAACCTGACACTCTCTGATTCCAACTGGTTGTGTGTTCGGTTTTGCGAATGCTGCTGAAGTAAAGTTGTAACAGGCAGAATAGATGACGCTTCATTAGACCGAAAATTGAAGAGGCTTTCTCTATTCTGTGGTGGTTGTTGAAAAGTACTGTTCAGCCCTTTTGGTAATGTGGTTTGTTTTTCCTCCACTTGGGCTCTTGAAATAGCATTATTTGCACTTTCATTGTCATTTTCCTCTTCAGAATCGCTCGACAATATTACCATTTCAATTGGAGACTTTGTTTCTGTTATTTTGTTATTGCTATTGTTATTACTGTTGTTGTTGTTGTTGTTGTTGTCTTTATTGTTGTCTTTATTGCTCAACTTCTTCCTCTTTATCGCAATCTCACTCCTTTCCACTACCGGCTGCCATTTAGCATCTTTCGAAATGAGAACATGTTCAGTATCCTCACTTGTCGATTGAAGGATTTCATCAAAAAACTCACAACCAGCCAAATCATCAATCTTGACAGGCTTGACACAATAGGGACATTCCCATAGAGGAGACTGTAGTTGTTTTGCTAAAAAAAATGTTGCATCAAAACATTGCAAATGGTCACAGTAAACTGATTTTGTAGCATAGCGAATTCTCATACAACCCCAAGGATCTTTGAGAGACACTTGATAGTCAGACATGATAATTCCGTCACTATCTTCTACCTTTTGTAATTCCGCAATTGTGTGACGTTTACTAATTTTTGGTTTGGACAAGATTCTGTTCTTTATCTTTTTCAATGGGATAGTTTCAGCAATATACAAATAGACCAAAAAATTCGCATCTATAGCTTCATAAGCCAAGTGAATAGTGTTCAACTTTGGTGGGGGAAGTATAGAATCTGTGAGATCAATAGGCGATGCTGTACCCACTTTCGATGTACCTCTGAAACTCTGGGTAATTTTTGCGTCATTTAAATAAACCTCTACTTGCAGCGGATACTGGATCTGGACATTGTTTGTTGAGCTTGCATTTTCCTTACCTTGCTTACCGCACATCAAGTACAACCGTGTCCTTGGACCAGATGATCTTAATTGCGCCCATTCCTCTCTTGTGAGGACAAATGAAAATTCACAAGACGAAGTCTTTTTGGACTCGCGGCAAATCTGGGGCATTGAATGTATCAACCTTTTCAACTCAAATAAAGGATTTTCAGTAAATATGAGTGAATGGCCCTCGTACCTCTTGGAGTCATTCCGATGCATATCCATTCTATCATTAGGTCGCACTCCGCTATACTCTCCATTATCAATAACGCGATATAGATCTTTAAACAGCAGTAGAGCAAGCCCGACTTTTCTTTGTAGGACTAGTGCACGAAAAGCTTGCGATTTAACTCTATCTCCATCAATTTGCGAGCCTTCAAAAAAGTCCTCTAGACGTTTCTGTAAAACCGATTTGGTACCGCCTACTAAAAGTCCAACCAGTCGCAGAATATCCTTTAACTGGGCAACTCGCATTTCGCGAAGATTGTTCACGGTGTCATTGTACTCCTCTACGGATAATTCTGGTACATTGCTCATTCTGCTACACCAACTTTCTTTTCCATCTTCTTTCAAAGCTTAGCGTCAAGTCGAAACCACTATACGCCTTCTTTTTTTGATTTTATATTACTAATACAGTACCAACAATAAAATCTTTCCTCCCTTTTCGAAAAGACTACTCTGGACGTGTTTCCCCACAATTCAACGACTAACAAATTCCGTGTCTTGGTATTAGTATTGTTTTCCGTTTCGATTTTTTTTTTTTTTTTTTTTTTTTCAATGCGCAAAAGAAGATTTAATGTAAAAGTTCATTTCTCTAAACTATATAGATAATTTTGTCTAGATAAACCTGTCTAGATAAACCTGTCTAGATGCTTTGGTTTCATATCTACTGTTACCAGTCAGTCTGTGATTTTTTTGCAGGTTGTTTATTTTAGAATGTAGCTACTCCAAGTATACTTGCGGCATTTTTAGCGTCGACGGTAATAGGCGATAAAGGTTCATTATTTCGCCCAAGTTGTTTCAGTTCTTCTTCTTTTTCCAACGATCGAAATGTCCTTGAAGTCCAAGTATCACCAGCTGATGATTGAGACTGAAATAAATTGTGTTTTAGATTTTTCAAGTTTTCACGGTTGAGACGTGAGAGTCCTCCTCTCTCGTCTACACTTCTCACATCCAATCTTATCTTTTCAAAATTTTTTAACATTTTCCGATGATGTTCCACTTTGTGAAGAACATAGGTTTTTATCATGCTTTTGAATTTGCCATCTACAAAGGCAGTGAACTCCTTTTTTTCATACAACATCTCGCCAGAAATCCTTTTCACTTGTAGTTCGAGAGAATTCTGTACTTTAGTAGCGGATTCTAGAGACCTCAACGCTTCTCCAACTTTTATTGGATCTAAGGAAACTTTGCTCCTTATTTTATTTGCTTGTATATGCTTCGAACTTGTTTGAGCCTCTGCTTGAACGAGCTCCCTCATAATCAAGTATCTGTTTGTTAGTGCTTCTTTCACTTCATAAAAATCATTGATTAGGATCTGAACCCCGTCACCCAAAATGGCCATTTCATTGATAGAATCAATCAATAGCAAATCCGACGTTACTTGAATAACTTTTCCCAATTTGTCCCACATATTTTTCATTCCCGGGTGGGTATTTTCAAAATCAGAAAGAACACCCAATTTGTTCGACATGTCATAAACATGGATCGATAGTTGTTTCTCAGTTTTGCAACTTCGTTCAAGCAATTTATGCAATTTCTGAGATATCAAGTATGCACTTTTGATTGTGGGTCTGAAATACGCCAATTCTTCATATGGATCAGGTGGAACCGAAAACTGTTTCAATGTCTTACGCATTAGACCACTGGCAACTGAGGATTTACGATTATTGTTTATAACACTGTACCCAAAATCATTTTCAATAAAATAGTGAAACTCATCATCTCTGATCAAGATTGGATTACTCGTTATCCTATCAAACCACTCTTGCCATACTTTCATCAATTGTTTTTTCTCATCTTCTCCTCCTGAGGGGTATGATGTTTTGGAACTGGGAATAACAGGCACAAATGTTTCCAAATTGGAAATTGAGAGATACTTATTGAATTTTACAATCTCATTGTATGTGCGACGTAATTCTTTGTATGTTTGCTGCCTAAACTTTGGTAGGCCCCGCACTTGAACTTCCAATCTTAGTATAGGGTTCTCAGGCTTGTTCCTTTCAATGTCCACTAACTGAAACTGTAGTCCATATTTGTTTGTGAATCGTTCTGGTATCAATTTCTTTAACTCATCTTGAGAAAGACGGTTGCGGCCATATTCCTCGGTATCCCCTGCCGGTGCCGTGTTGTTCCCCTGTGGTTCTTGCATTAGTGGCTGTTCTATACTGGTCAGCTGATGCTCTTGCTCTGCCTCTACCCTGGGCTCTTGTTCGAAAGCTTGAGTAACGCTGGTCAGTTCGGGCTCAGCAAAGGGATTATTATTCTCAAATTCATCTGGGTAGTTTATTTCGGACATTGAAGGAAAGAGTTTAGCAGTAGCCAACGCAAATTGAAATTACTCGTAAACTTTTTCAAGGCTTGTATTCTATTCTTGACAAAGTTGGAGGTTTTACTATCAACATTTTTTTTTTGGTGCAAAAAAAAGAGAGAACGCTACCAATTACCACCAATTACTACCAATAGCACCACCACCACCACTACTACTACTACTACTACTACTACTACTGACCCTACTAACCCATCTTCACAAGTGTTCAGTTTTCTGCACCGGGCAGCTCTTTATTAATACTGGCTGGTTCGTCAGTATCATCGACATATTTGTGTTTTTGTTCTGCAGCTTCTTTTAGTAAACTCTCGCCATCCTTTTCGAAAAACTTTTGCAAACTGTCTGGTAAAGGAGTTGCCTCACCACAAACAGATTTCTCGTTGCAATATACCAAAAGCATCAGCTTATTCGGGTATGTTGATTGCTTTTGTACATACAGCTGTACCTCTTCAAAGGTTAAAAATTTACTCAGGAAATCAACGATACGGCCGTCGGTTCGAGATACAGCTCTAAACAAGGCCCATTGTTCAGGTTGGTTCAACAGAAATACTTTGTATAAATATTCTGTATCGGAAAACACGATACCAGTAAGAAAGTACTTTTCCGGAGTTTGAGTTGTCAAATCGTTTGTGTTTTCAATTTGTTGCAAAACATTGTCATGGTTCAAAGAGTCAAATCTTGCGTAATCAAGATTAAGATTCTTCAAAGTCTCGTTCAAATGTACCAATTCCGACTTGATACTTGCTGATAAGTTGGAAATATCTTCAAAACTTTCAATTTCATTTGTCTTCTCCAAATGTTTTTGGGTGCTTTCCAAGAGGCTTTTAATCTTCTTGCCCTCGAATGAAGTTGAAGACATTATTCTAGTGGTAGCTGCTGACCTTTCCTTGGCTATTCTTAGTTTATTTGCTTTCATCATATCAATTATCGATTGGTACTCAGTGGAAAAAAGACTTGGGTAAAAAAACTCATCTACTGTTAATGGTCTTGAATCATTTCCATTTTCCTCTGCATTGAGTTGAATTGCTAAAACTGGCGCTATGGTCTCAAACAAGTACGGCGTTTCCCTCCAGAATAAGTTGTTGAATGTATCACGGACACTATCACCTCTATTTTCGTGGTCCACGTTGATTATATTTAGTTCATTTATTTGTCCATCTTCAGACCTGATTCGAGATAACATCAAGGAACTCACATCTTTTGCCAACACCAATTTCACTGCATTTTCTAGATGTGCCGTAACATGCTTCAAAGCATCATCCCAATCGTCAAGATCCAGGTCAACCAAAGTGTCGGAAAGAGTGCCGTATATAATATCTGCACTGATGAATGCTCGTTTGCTAATATTAGGGCTCAAGAATGCCATCATCAACTGTAACACACGTATAAACAAATATTCTCGCAGCTCATTGGTTTGAGATACCTTTTGAGGTTCATCGAACCATCGATTTGAAAACTCTTGATCCAATTCCTTACTGAAAATAACATCTCTCAATGCTTTCACCTGACTTAGTACAATGTAGAATGCAACGATAAATCCTTCCGTGGTTGACATTCGTGTCGGTACAACTGCTGGGGGTAAGTTTTCGCCTCTTAGAAATACCTCAGGATGTTCAAACAAAGAATCTTGTCCACTTTCACTTTGCTCCGAATCTTCACGCCAGCCTGTATATTCAATTGAGTCGTAAGTAAACCCAGATAATGGAGCAAACAGAGGAATATCTTGGGGATTTGAAATCTGTACTGTATCCTCAATAAATTCCGTGGTATTATTATCATTATTATACAGAATCTGTTGCTCCGTATCATTAAACAAGTAACCTATCGCTTGCTCCAAATCGTTCTGCGATTGTCGCAATGCCGTCTCTGCTTGTTCTTGGGAAAACCCCATTTCCTGTAATTGCTTAAGCTTGTCCAACTCCATTATCCCGAGGCAACCAAAAAAAAAAAAAAAAGAAGACAAAGAAAGAAGACAATGAAAAAAAAAACTTACGTGTTCTGGGTTTCCACTTGGTTAACTGTTTTGTTCGCACCCTGCTGGTATATACACAGAGTAAAAATAAACAACTTCTTATCTAACAACTAAAATCGGTTTTCTTTTCTAAACTTGGTTCCTTCAACGAAAAAAAAAAAAAAAAACAAAACAAGCGCGCTATACAACCTTGATTGAGATGAACTCTCATTTGGTACCAGCTTTGATCATATACTCCAAAAGCAAAATCAAGCTTTCCACACCTCTAACCCAAGCATAGAATGTATTTTTCGAACGCCAGTAACGATAAGCTTGAGATACATCAGGGTCTAGTAGACAGTACAATGCATCTAGAGTCAATTGCAAACCATCATTGTTATTAGTATATTTTTTCCCTCTATAATGAGCTTTCCAAGCATATTGGTGGTATTTGATAAACTTTTGCAAAAATTGTTTCATACTTTGTTTTAAGAAATCTAGTTTATTTAGATAGTTTTCTCTGTAGAACCCAATAATGAGCATGCTGGCTATGCAAATTTGGTTTGAACTTGCAAGGTCTATATCGGTCAATGTTGGTGCAAGTTCTAGTTTTTCGTAAAGAATGTGCAAGGGGTCTTGAAAACATTTGTTAGCATCATTTTTTGCTAATTCGTAGCTTAAAGAGTCGGTGATGGTCTTTATCATTTCTGGTAATATAGCTAATTGGTTGACTTTGAACTGACATGAAAGAGCAAAAGTTTAGATATTTATTAACAAAAGCTAACTACACACCTCCCTATCTATACACACCTTTCTACACACACCTCCCTATCTACACACGCCTCTCTCTATCTCGTTTATTGGTTGCAAATTGAATAAAAATGGGGAAGGTGCTCTTCAATTGGTGATCTTCAATTAACAATCTTCAATTGGTGATCTTCAATTAACGATTTAATTGACAATCACCAATTGACGATTTAATTGAAAATCACCAATTGACAACCTATTATAACAACCAAATTTACACCAACTCATAAGTCATTGTAGACTATCAAAGTTACCCACTTAGACTTACCAAACAAAAACATATTTAGCCTCCACTTGGGCTACTAATCCGTACCCCCCATCTCCATCTCCATCTCCATAGAGAAGGAAGCCAAAAAAGAAAAAGAAAAAAATGCTACACTAACTCATACAGATGAGATGGAAAAAAAAAAGAAAAAAAAAAAATTTCAACTTGGTGGTGTTAATGCAAATTTTGAAAAGATTTGTATACATAGGGATTCTTTTCAGTCGCAGACCAAGCTTGCCGTTGTTCAGACACCCAGTGATTTTCAGAAAAATGTCAACTTCAGTTAGCCATATTACGGAGGAATTGAAGAAATTGGATTTGTCTCAGCCTGAACCAGTCCAAGGATCATTACCTGATTATAACATTGTAGATGTTTTCAAGAATTATGTTGCAAATGAGTTTAGCCGAATAACCGACATTGACAAGTCGATTGTATTTGCTGCCTTAGACACTCCCAAAGTCCTAGACCAAGGGGACCTTATTATAGCGCTTCCAAGATTGAGATTAAAAGGAATCAATGCCAATGAGAAATCTAAAGAATGGTCTGAGAAATTTGAAAAGGGGAAATTTATATCTGAGGTTAAACCACAAGGAGTGTTTATGCAGTTTTTTTTTAGCAAGTCACTATTATTTGAGTTGGTGATTAGCAACGTTTTGAAAAGGAAAACAGATTATGGTTATCTTCCGTTGGGAGTTGGTAAGAAAGCTATTGTTGAATTCTCGTCTCCAAATATAGCAAAACCATTCCATGCTGGTCACTTGAGATCCACAATTATTGGTGGTTTTATCTCCAACTTGTATGAGAAAATAGGCTGGGAAGTGATTAGAATTAACTATTTAGGAGATTGGGGAAAGCAATTTGGTTTGTTAGCAGTAGGGTTTGAGAAATATGGATCTGAGGAAGCCTTGGCCAATGATCCCATTAACCACTTATTTGAAGTTTACGTCAAGGTCAACAACGACGTTAGAAATGAGACAGATGAAGCAACTGGGGTAAAACAAAAACAAGAAGGTGAAGAAGAAGAAGAAGAAGCAGCAGCAGTAATTGATGCATCTGAGCAAGATGAAAAAAAGATTCAATCACCGACTAATGAGAAAGCAAAACAGTTTTTCAGAAAAATGGAAGATGGAGATGAACAAGCTTTAAAACTTTGGCAAAGATTCAGAGAACTTTCAATTAAAAAGTACATTGATACATATGCTCGTTTGAATATCAGGTATGATGTATATTCAGGAGAATCACAAGTACCTCAAGAGAAAATGAAGAATGCTACCAAGATGTTTGAAGACAAGAATCTTATACATATTGATAGGGGAGCCAAATTGATTGACTTGTCAAAGTTTAACAAGAAATTAGGTAAAGCTTTAGTTGAGAAATCTGACGGAACCTCGCTTTACTTGACCCGTGATGTTGGCGAGGCCATAAAAAGGTACGAACAATATCATTTTGATAAGATGATTTATGTTATTGCATCTCAGCAGGATTTACATTGTGCACAATTTTTTGAAATACTAAAACAAATGGGATTCGAATGGGCCAAGAACTTGGAGCATGTCAACTTTGGTATGGTTCAAGGAATGTCCACTAGGAAAGGAAATGTTGTATTTTTGGATAACATTCTTCAAGAGACCAAGGAGAAGATGCATGAAGTTATGAAAAAGAATAAGGAGAAATATGCTCAAATTGAGGACCCAGACAAGATTGCTGATTTAGTTGGTATATCCGCAGTAATGATCCAGGATTTCCAATCTAAGCGTATTCTCAACTACGAGTTTAAATGGGATAGAATGACTTCTTTTGAAGGTGACACTGGTCCTTATTTGCAATATGCTCATTCTCGTTTGTGTTCAGTGCAAAGAAAATCTGACATTAGTGAATTAGAGTTGGAAAATGCCAATTTCGACTTATTGGTCGAGCCATGTGCAACATCGTTGGTTAGAATATTGGCACAGTACCCGGATATTATCAAGAGGGCTTCAAGCAATAATGAACCATCAACTGTAGTTACATACTTGTTCAGTTTATGTCACACTGTATCGCAGTGTTATGATATATTGTGGGTTGCTGGTCAGGAAAAGGATGTAGCCACAGCTAGATTGGCCTTGTATGCCGCAACAAAACAAGTTATTTACAACGGTATGACCTTGTTGAACTTGACTCCTGTTGAAAGAATGTAAATAGGTCCCAACTTTTATAAACTGTCTTTTTACAATCTAACGTTATCGGAGCCGAAAATCGATTGCAAATTTCATACTGCAACTTGACCAATTAAACCAAGCAAATTTATTGCTTATTAACCTTGTAATGCCACAGCAGAAAAAAAAAAGAACTGGAAAAAAAAGAAAAAAGGGTTACTAAAAAGTTGCTTAATCTCTTTGCCCTTCCCCCCTCCTCCACCCTTTCCACTATTTCCACTTACGGAAGCAGCGCGGAATCGGCCTTCAGTTAAATATAAAGAAATTTGTTTTTACTCTCAAATTAAGCGATAAAGTCATTCTCTTCTCTTCTCTTCTCTTCTTCTCTTCTTCTTTTTTCTTTTTCCCTTTTCAATTGCTATCTTTTTTTTTTTCAAACCCCCAAATCCTTAATTTAGAGAATAAGAGTATGATCAAATCATCAAGAACTTCTTTATTAAGAGCCTCTAGATTTATTACTAGGCCAAACAATGCTTCAGCCTTTATTGGCTCGATCAGAACTAAATATTCCTTGCCCACGTTGGACTATGAGTTGGATGCATTAGAACCACACATCAGTGGCCAAATCAACGATCTTCACTATAACAAACATCACAAGACCTATGTTGACAATTTAAACAAATCAATCGAGGCAGCTGTTGAAGCCAAGTCGAAAGGCGAGATTAAGAAGTTGATTGCTTTACAAAAAGCGCTTAATTTCAACGGTGGGGGATACGTTAACCATTGTTTGTGGTGGAAAAACTTGGCTCCTCAAAGTGCTGGTGGTGGTCACAAACCAAGCGACGACTCGCCATTGGGTAAACAGATTATCAAACAGTTTGGTTCAGTAGATAAATTGATTGAAATCACTAACGGAAAATTGGCAGGAATTCAAGGTTCAGGATGGGCGTTTATTGTTAAGAATAAGGAAAATGGCGGTGCCATTGAAGTTATCACTACTGCTAATCAAGATACTGTATCTGATGTTAATTTGGTTCCGTTGATTGCAATTGATGCTTGGGAACATGCTTACTACTTACAATACCAAAATGTGAAAGCAGATTACTTTAAAGCGCTTTGGAATGTCATCAATTGGAAAGAAGCTGAAAGAAGATTCGAGTTTTAAAGTAAGAGAAAAAGAGTTTATTGGACTGTAGGAACGTCTTGTATTTATTTCGTTTTTGTTTCTTTGAAAATGTCTTATAGTTGTTTGATTTGTATTGTTACAATAAAAGGGCGACTTGTTCTGAAAAAAAAAAAAAATGAAAAAATAAATATTAAAAAAGAAAAATATATATATGCATATCTGATAACAGTTTGGAAAAGAGATTGAGATGACTCTCTCTTGTCATTCGGAGGGGGTAAACTCGGTTGAATCTCTGCGTAATCTTTTCTGTTCATTGGTGATTTTGTTTATCAAATTCTGTCAGTTATTGAGGTTTGCTATTTGTTGGAAAAGGCGTGCCCCTAACTAGACAATTTTATTGATTATATTCTCCAAAGCCAAACTTTACCCGAGTTTTAATGATTAAGAACTTATAAATTCCTGGCTAAAGAGTTCCAATAAACGAGTAAAACTTATCATTGTACCACAATTTAGACCTACTGTTCCTATTTGTCTTGGAGAAGAAAAAGAATGCCTTAATTTTCATTCTCTTCTCAATCAATTTAGTTTCTACTAGGAAGGTCATGGACATTTGTCTCGGTATTTTTTTTCCAACCATCTACCTTCATTAACTGGACACTATCGAGCAGAGCGAGATAGTGTCGTAACAAGCTACTAGGCGAGATAAGCTACTAGACGAGATAAGCTACTAGGCGAGATAAGCTACTAGACGAGATAAGCTACTAGACGAGATAGAGTACTCACCTCGAGTGTGTCGGTGGCAGTTAGTGCTCCACTATCTCGCTCTGCTCGATAGGTAAATACACGTTGTTGATCTGTAAAGATACTTTAGTGAAACAGGTTGTGTTATGTGTTCAACTAAAGATTCTGCTACACCCAAGGTAAAACGGGTCCCCTCTTTAAATAAGTCGCATCATTTACTAAAACGCAGTTACGCAATTGGATCATTTGGCTCTCTAGACATATGCGGGGAGAAAGAAAATCTTTTAGTAAACGTTTTCTTTTGGGGGGGGAGGTTGATGCAAGTGAATCATTAACATGAAATTGAAAGGTTTTACGAAGAAATAAAAAAAAAAGTGGTTGTGAAAAAAGAAATCTACGAATGCTTCGATCAACGGTGCCAAAGTTTCAGTCTTTCTTTTTTTTTTCTTTTTTTTTTAACAGAAAGGGCAATCTAAGCCTTCCACTACACTCTCTTATTGTCTAACTATACTGGATGTCTATTGTAGCAGTCAATTGACATCACTACCAAGGCATTTAGCTTAAGGATCTGTCTTATCCTTATTGCTGAATGCAGGGATGATGACAACGCATATGAGCCTTATAAGGAGAAAGCTACCAATTATCCATATATTACACAAAATAAAAAAAACGGAGAACCGAAAAAACCTGCATACCGCACTATTAAGCCAAGATGTAGTTTATGCAAACGGGTTTAAAATAGAAAAAACTAAATTTAGAAAAAACAAAACTCAGCTCAAAAATGTCAGGAAAAAAAAAAAGTCTGAAAAGGTGTAGAAGGGGAAAAAAAATGAGGGGGATGGTGGAAAGAGCCACCATTTCTTTTGAAACTATCAACATTTACTTTTCTTAAGCTATAGAACAAAATTGATTTTTTGTTTGGTTAATGGGTCAGAAGAAAACGCAGGCATTTCGATTAACAGACACAACGCAATACGGCGCGACAAGGGCGCACCTAGGCATTTTGTGATAAGTTTAGTGTATTAATGTAAGACCATTGAATAAAGAAGTGATAGAGGAGTGCTAATGTGTTTAAATTCTTTCTTTTTCAAATGGTGAGTAACACATAGACCGGCTTTAATTGTATATAATTCTCAACCAATGATTTTTTCGTATTTTAAAATAGTTTGGAGCAGCGTTCCAATGTGACTTCTTCAACCATTTGTCCCGTTTTGTTTTTTGTCTTTTTTATTTCTTTTTTGTCTCCTGCGTTTTGTACACTCCTTGGGACTCTATTTTTTTTTGCATCCTTATTTTCTTTTTTTAAAGGAAAAAAAACCTAAACTTGTATCATTTAGTAGAGTCTACTCCGTTTTTTGCATATGTATAGTCAAATTAGTTTTGCAACCTCGGTAGTTGAGTTAAAGATTTTTGGAAATTTGAGAGAAGGATTGAAGGAACGGGATATAGAACAGTCTACTGAATGTCTTAAAACTTGGGAATTAAATAGTCAAGAGTACCACCAACACAAGAAAAATCATTACAGTTGTAAAAGTGTCTATAAAAATATAGTCAAAAGATAACTAAAATACAAGAAGAGATATAGCTACCTCCCTTTTTTTTTTTAAGCTTGTTGCGTTTTAAATTCCTTTTTTCTTTCTTCCTCTCTGTTCCTTTTCTTTGATATTTAAAACTGCAAATGGCAATCAGCTTTGGGGATTTCAGTGTAGTAACTTTGTAGAGCTCTCTTCAAAGCAGAAACTAATTTATCCCATCTCAAAATCCTTACTTCCTTATCGAATCCTCTTGGTTTTCTAATATCATACCCCATTATTCTTCGTGCTAATTCCAGTCTGTAATCCTGATTTGTTAAATTATGGCTATGATTAGATGATAAAGAGGTTGAAGTTAAAATGGGCACTGACGTCGACAACGATGAGGATGAGTTGCCATTATCTGAATGCGCGTGTGTTGTTGATGCGGAGGTGTCACTCATTTTGGAACTGATGGACTTTTTTGACCAAAATGGCACAAGGTTAGATCTAACCCTACCTCTTTCTCTCCTCTTTTCTGCGGCATCTTTGAATTCTGTACCAATTAGCAATTCAACAATTTCAACTAATTCAACTGAGGTGATATAATACTGGTAATAAGAACCACTGACAGGGTCGTTTTTTGTGTAATGATGCGGAGATTTAGAACCTATTTTCGGCGAAGATGTAGATGACACTTCATCTTCTGATGATGGAGAGTCGTAATCGTCATTCATTTTGACATCACATTCTAAACATGATACTTCAATAACATCGACATTGGGTGGGGCTGGTAATGTAATTGGGTTTTCTTTAGCACTACCAACAATACTAAAGTTTGCAATCAAAGTTGGACCTCTTTGAATTCTTTCGATTCTAATGATCCTTCTTCGATCTTCTTTTTCCAGTGGTGTCCAAGTAGGAAAACAAATATCTTCTACACTTGCTCCGCGTAGTTCTAGATTGACTGGTAAATAAGTGGAATCACTAGAAATAGATTCCTTAGGGGGCCGCGTGGTGCACCCCCCCGCTGAAACCCCTCGTACAACTCGATATCTTTTTGAAGGTATGAGCTGGGAAGAACTGGAGCCATTCTTGTAGTAATGGGTGGCTGTGGTGGTGGCGCTAACAACATTAGTAGCATTAGCAGTACTAGTTGGAGTAGAGTATTCATAGTTGGTTTTGATTGCTGATGAGTGCGGTGGGTGGTACAGTACAGGTGCTGAAGTAGCAAACATGTTTACATTTGGAGAAACACTGGTATTATTGTTGTAAGACAATTGATCCAAAGCAACGGATGGTGCTGTAGATGCAATGTAGGGAGTGTTTTTATTCTGTTGGTTGAAAAGTGTCGATTGTGGAATTTGAGTAGTTGTAAAACCATTTGGCATTATCGTTGAAAGTGGCGAGTATATATTGGGAAAAGACAATGAGTTTTGTGTATTGTCATGATGGACATTGTCGATTGAAGCAAAAGCTAATGAGTCGTTACTTTCAGTTGACGAAATTCCATTCTGGATTGGGTGTGGTGGTGGCGTGTCATAGGAGTCATATGCTAATTTTGGTGGTGTGTCATAAGAGTTGTAAGTTAGCTTTGAATGATCTTGTCTGTTGAAAGAGTATATCGAAGAAGATGTCGAGGTCGAATTTTGATGGGGATACAGTAGATTTGGTTCATTCAAATTGTGGGTCGTCTTATACGTGTTTACATGTTGCGATTGTGGGTATCTTCCATAATGGTCAACTAGACTTGGCTGATTGGGAATGTACTGATTATTAGTGAAGTTGAAATTGGTTGTATAATAGGCCAAATTGACATTGGCAGAATCATTGTATATACTGTTTGACCCAAAAGTGTGGTCTTGATTAGAGGGTGCACCAGGATTGGCAATGTACCCATATGAAAGCTTTATTCCCATTTCCTCTTTTTCTCCTTTTTCTTCTGCTTCTTCTGCTTCTTCTTCTTCTTCTTCTTTTACTTTAGGTAAATCAGCATTTGTCATATTCAAACTATCGTATTGCTCATTCATCAAAAAATTAGGACCTCCAACTGCAGCAACAATAGCAGAAGCAGTGTTGCCATTAGAGTGGACAAATTCATTTGGGTCTAGCATATCGAAACAACTGGATTGGAAAAGGAAGGGAGATGTAGCATCAATGGACATGTGTTACTCAATATACAAAAAAAAAATAGCACACGGATTTGATAAAACTTGTTTTGAACCTCCTTTTGCAATTTTTGAAGTTAAATAAAATATATATATATAATGAATGGCTTTTTAGGACTTTGGGGGCAGAGCAAGAAAGGGGGTTTATTGTTCCTATTATTAGTGACAGATGGATGTTATATGCAGATGAATATATGCAGATGAATATAGCAGATAAATATGTGCTTTTCTAATGAGGCTTCAAAATAACGTTGATTATGTTATTCAAAGGGCGAGAAGTGAAGTGAAAAATTAGTTAATAACGACTATCTTGATAGTGATACTAGATATGCCCTAAAATAAATACCATTAATTGAGAAATCTAGTTGGTTATATTTATATAGATTGCCCGGCCCTTGATAATACTTCTTTTTTTGTGTCCCGTATTCATGGTAAAATAAAACAATAATAATAAAAGTAATAAAAAAGAAAAATTTAACATCGAAAGTAGTTAGCATAGATTAGTCGACGAAGATAGTCAATGTAAAGTTCAAAAAAAAAAAAAAAATAAAATAAAAATTGGAGAAACCACATACAATTGTAGAAGCCACATATAGCATAAGTACAAACGCTGAATCATAATAGTACATAGTACTTTAATTTCTGGGTTATACCTGGTATAACCTGCCCTTATTTCTTTATCACAATTGTTACTCTAGTTGCAATACCCTTTGGGCAATTTTTTTAAGTAATAACACATCCTGCAAGTCAAAAGTTAAAATCAATCGAAGATTATGCCAAAAAGATAAAAAAAAAAAAATCTTTACACGGGTTTATCATTTTTGTGTAAGAAACAAAATTGCTGTATCTCGGTCTCCTTATTATTTAAAGATCGGATATATTTTTATATTCGAAAATGCCTTAGTAATGCGTTCAAGGGTTTATTTTATAAAGCGTGCGCAACCAATTGTGATTTGCTCGATTTTTTTTTTTCTTTTTCAAGTTGTGAAAAATCCAAGCTTGTCCTATTAAATGTAGCAAGAATTGTAGTAATTGCTGTTTAATTCACGATTTATGTAAGTATAGAAGTTCTTCAATAGTTTGGTTAAGTTGGAATCATTCCTATTTAATGCTTTTCTCCTCTCCTTTTTCCCCTCCTTCTTATTTCTTGTGGTTTTTCGGAAAAATCTGGGATCCATTTATTGGGACTAAAAATTAACATCATTTCCTGTAAAATGCTTGACTGCCATATGTGCATTAGACTAGCAATGCTTTTTTTTTTTTCCTTTTTTTAGCAACTTACGTAATGCATGACATTATTCGCCTTCGTTTGTTTATGCAAGGAGATGAAAGAAACAAGGTGGGGGCAGAAGCTACAAGAGAGAGCGAAAAGACGTGAGCGAAGTATTGGTGGGGGGGGTAGGAAGGAAAGAGGCGGGCGATGCTTAGAAAGAGAAAGAAGAGACTCTATGAAACTAAACAATAATGGGGCAGGGTGATACATGCATACATTAAGATCCCGGAACTATGATGAACTTAGTAAAAAAAGAATCGCAACAACTATCGATTGTTGCAGTGTAATGATTTAATGCTTCACTCCTAGCAAAGAGAAAAAAAAAAAAAAGAAAAAAAAGAGTAATAGTAACACTTGAACCTATGACAAAGAATGACTCAACACGATGGACAAAACCTAGCATCTTTTTAGGTGTTCATTTGCTGTATAAGGAAAAAGGAAAAAACTGATTCAATATCTCTCATATCAAGAACTTATTAATACACCATTTTCCTCGAGGAGCGATTTGCTCCAGGGCCAATTTTTTTTTCTATTCGTAATTTCACGTGTTAAAAGTACAATCGCACGGTGTAATCCAATGAATAAGAACAATAGTTCACTAAATCCGTGTGTGCTGAGCATTATGCGTAGAGAATAATTTTGATTTTACAAATTTGTCTTTGTTATGTGAAAAAAAAAAAAAAAAAGCTCGACCAATTTTACTTGAGACCAAAATTGACACATTTGAATTTTGGTTATAGTGAGTTTTCCTTCTTTTTCATCCATTTTTCTACTTTTAGTGAAGTAATAGAGTTGTATCCTCAACTGTTTTGTTCACCAAAGTGTCTTTAATAGGCATCTTCCTATCTTTTAGAAAGATATGTTTTGTGTCTTTCTTTTTTTCCGTTTTTTTTTTCATTTTTTGTTCTCTTGCAATTTGAAAAGTATTGTTATTCAATGAGTGTACATATCCGTCATCTCACAATCTACATTTCCTTTCTCCCCCC